CGAGAATCACCCGACCTCGGGTTTTGGCAGTCCTGGGTCAGACCGAGATCTTATCCATCCAGTCCCTGAGGTTGGGGTCCAGGTGCTGTCAACACATTCACATTCTCACTCATTCTTTCAATTGGTGGTGCAGTCCTCAAAATTCCCCCTTTCCTTTTACACCTATTGTATAACTAACCTAATTGAGAGACGACTCAATATTCCACCATCGGCCCTCTCACACATTCATTCTCAACACATGCTAGAGACACAAGACTATCAGTTAGGAAACAACCCTTTTCCTCCAAGAATCGGAATAGGAGACATAAATACTCGTTGCCGTCCTCAAACACGATTCTCACATCGGGTGGTATTCCTACGTGCTCTCTATATAGAGCCAATTGCACCTCTCAATAAGATGGGACACATCGAGCAACCTTTCTCTATGTCGGACAAATACGCTTTGGCCCAAAAGTAAGTGTCCATGTGCCAATCTCGCATGGCCTATCCTTAATCGGGCGAGGATGACCCTTCTTCTAAGAGTCAGTCCTCCGAGGGCCGTCTATCGACAGTGCTCTTCATAGAGAGAGCTCTGCCGAGTAGTGTTTCGTGCTTTGATGTTTTATTGTTTTCTTTCACTTCTGGTAGAAATTATGTCTGATATGAGATTATGTCGCTTACTTTTCGATTTGTGTTGATTCCTTTTTCCAAACTTAAAAGCCTTAAATTGTGAGATTTCTTTATGGGACTTGCGGGGTAATGAACCTGTAGTTCGGTCGTTAACAGAGCAAGAAAATGATCGGAAACGACCAAATTAAAAGCTTTAGCTAAAACACAATACATTGACCTCCACAACTGACTATTCAAATTTTATCGACGTCTTACACAAGATAAAAAAACTTGTATTTGTAATGAATGTCAAAAATAACGTAAAATGTTGTTACCAAACATTTTTTTGCTGTACAAATTTAGCTTGAGCTGAGGTTGTTTGGCGCTTATAGTTAACCAACAAGTAAACAATTCGGATAATTAGAAAGGCTGAAATAGTGGAAAATTCCAAATTAAAAAATATATTGAAGAAGACAAAAAATTTATTACAAAGAGAACAAGAATTAGTTCATGATGTTGGTAAATTCGTTTTACTGAGAATAATTATCATAGAAGTTAAAAAGGTCTGAAACCATATTGTTTGGGCAATCGCTCAGTTGGACAAATCACATACCCTTGGCCTCATTTCTTTACCGCGGTACCATCGACCTTCATTTCAAAAACGGAAAATGAACCCAGCTCTTATACAATAGCCGCTGATAGGAAAGAAAAATTCACGAACATATTATAAAATTATTTGTGATGAAAAATCATTATTATATTTCGATTCTTTTACCTAGAACGGATTGGTTGAGCATTTGTCTTATGAAGATATACACGCAGGAACTGGTAGATGAAGTGCACCCATCGATGGCGATATACGAGACGCCTAATCGGTTGGAGAAGAGTGAAAAGAAATTGGGTCATCGGACCTTCGCTCCGCTGGTCAACGTCCTTGGCCGTTCTGTGGCTCTTGTTGAACACTGTCGAAAGCTGGCCATTCTGAAGATGCCCGGCCACTTCTCGTTCAGTTTCCTCGTGGTTTAAAAGTTACGATTTATTCTTCTTCAAATTTGTTTTAATGTAAAATTTAGTCGACCTGTTATTTGGCATTGTTGAAAGGGTGAAGTACAAGCAGAAATTTGTGCCTAGTCGGTTTCTTCAACATTGATTGAAACGGTGTTTGCGATCGCACAAAATGTATTTTGTCTGTATTGCTTTTTCTTAGAACAACGCCTTACTGGTTTTTTTTTAACTTATTATGGGCTTTGATTAATCGGATCACACTACTAGGTGGTCAAATTTACAAAATGTTGTAAATCTCGAGACAGCGATTTTTAATGTTATTACACACTGTACTGCAAACTAATATGATTCTTCACCTTGCTTCTTTGTCGACCCTCGTTATTAGTTGGAGAAATACACCTTATCATAATACAAATAAAAATCCAAAAACGTCTAATTAAGCCGTGGCAGATAAGTTATAAGGAAAACGTTCGGAAATGTAAAAATCCTGATTGTTGGTCGTTTATTTTCTCCTAGGCTCCCACCTAGTCACAGAATCGGGCTCAGACCCGTTTAGGCAGCCTCTGTAATTCACCAGGTCTATTTCGGAAACGTTTTTAACGAGTGATCATTTGAATAAAACTTCTCCCGTTCTCTATTTAAAGTCTTAAGATTTTCGTCAAAAAGGCGTCTTTAGTCAGGGCGGCTGGAAGGAATCTCCGTTGGCATTTCCTTTCAGCAACTAGGATTTCTTAAGCTGCCAAATTGTTAAGATAGTTTTAATTTCTTTAAACCTTCACACCATTTCCGTACGAAAAATATTCAAATACGTTCAATTCAAATTTTTAAATTAATTAAAATTGGTGTATATTCCATGCTTAACGGTTCATTGTTATTACCCAAACGAACAGGTCTAGTTACAATACACGTAGAAGTTACAGATGTGTGTGCTTTCGGTGTTTACATTCTTTGAGGCCGACGTATTTGATCAACTGGCTTTATTTTTTAAAATTGCAGTTATATTCCTTCTACTATATTTTTTTTCTATAATTCTTGATTTATATCGACGAAAAAAATTCCAAAAGCACAGTTAAACCAGGTTCATAAAAACAATTCTATGTTCAGTTTTGTTTTAAACTAATGATCAATCGAATCCTTATTTTCATCATTTCCTTGATGATTCATCGCCAGAGAAATTTGAGCTAATATAAATAAACGTCGATGTTTTTAATTTTAAATTTTATTGTATTACACACTTGAAAAATAATATGATCCTTCGTCACCTTTCTTCTTTATCAACCCGCGTTATTTGTTGGAGAAATACGCCTTCATCATATTGAAAATAATAATGGAAAAAAGGCTAATCGAATCATGGCAGATAATCGTTATAATAAATATATATATAATCGTTATAATAATAAATCGTTCATATCGCCCGCTATATCTTTGTAAACACGAGTCCCGAAAGAGTTTTCACAAAAAAAAAAAAACTATTTTATCTGAAGTTTTTGTTTTTTCTTTTTCGATCTCGTCGGTTTGTCCTCTCCAACGTGTTTCGGTATATCGCCATCTTCAGTGGATTTTATACAAATCTCTACCGCATTATCTTTTACACTTTATAACATTTCAGCAAAAGAGAAAATGAAAGTCAAAATTTTCATTATATACTAGATGGAAAAAAATTCCGCCCACTTGTAAAATAACTTAATTTGTATATATTTTTACATATTAATCAAAGTTTCACGTTTTTTAACATTTAATAATTGAGTCTTTGGTAAAAAAAAAAAAAAATACGGACAGATAAAATTTGTTTATTTGTTTTAATTTTGTTTTAAATTTTTAATTAACATTTCAATTTCGCGTATTTCCTCCTCTTGCCTTAACTACATCTCGAAGACGCCTCGGCATACTTTCTACCAGTCTGGAAATGTCTCTTTGCTGGAGGTTAGCCCGTTCTTCAAAAAGGGTTCTTACAAGATCGTGGAGTGTATCAGGAAGTGAATGACATGCTCTTATTCGTCTTTTGAGGTTATCCTATGTTCAATGGGGTTTAAGTTTGGAGAACGGGCTGGACGGCTAAGACCCTGTTATGCTGTACGTTTGTGCTATGCGACCGACATGTTGACGGGCATTATCGTGCATTATAATAGGATTGTCGCTGGTTTCATCGAGGATAGTCAACGTATGATGTTCCAAAATTTCATCCCCATAGCAAGTGGCCGTCAAAGACCCTCCACGAACAACAACCAACTCTGTGCGACTCTCCATTGAAATTCCCGCCCATAACAACACTGAGCTACGTTGAAAAGGTTTGGCTCTGGGAAAAATTTCAGGCTTCTTACCTTCATTTTGCCTTCTCCACACTCTTTCACGCCCTTCCAATGGCTGTGTATTCGAGCAAATGCGAGACGTGCAACTCTGTTTTCTGGTCAATTCTGGTCCTCTTACGGGGCGAAAAGCCAGTCCATACCGATTTAATATTCTTCGAGCAGTGTGTTGAGAAATTTGGACACCTCGAACTTCCTGGAGCTCATGAATCGCTTGAACAACAGTAAGGTGCCGGTTTCACAAAATTCTCAAAAACAAAAAACGGTCATCCTTTGGTTCTGTTACCCTAGGGCATCCAGAACCGGGGCTTTCTATGGTTGGGCCCATTTTCTCGAAAACATTGAAAAATCCTTTATCCTTGTTTTGAATTAAGGATTAAGTGTGTTTGCGTCTAATTGATATTCCTAACTTAAAGCATAGCATCTAGAAAATGAAAAAAAATCAGTTGGGTGGAATTTTTGCCAGTCAGTGTATTTTAATATCATATCAATAGTGGTCTTCTTGGACGACCTTTTAGAGCATGATGTTGCCTTTACAAAAATATTTATTATATTTACATAAATTTAAAATCTTTAGTTTATGATTTTATGGCAAAAAATGAACGATTGGAAAGGAAGCACTCATTTCTTCGTCTATACTAATAATATGAGCGTATTTCATGTTATTAGCGAGGACTTTATGTATGAAAATAAGTCTGTTTCTCCTGTCGTAGAGGTATACGATGTTTTATACCCAGTCTTTCTACAGTACTTTTGCTTGGACAATTCGTTTAAAAAAAATGTCCGTTTTGAACGTTTTAAATCACTAAATCACGTTTTAAAAAGCTTCGAATTTATTCGTAATTGGCCTAAGACTCTTTCATGGTCATCATTGATAAGATGTTAATGTGGAATTTCGAAATAAGTTTTGGATTAACGTTTGATTTTGAATGGGTTTGAATAGTGTAAACAAAATATGACAATTTGGACAGAAATATAATTCATTATAAGATCTCCGATAACGTGTAGAATAGTAATACTGTCTGATCAAGTGGACTGTATGGGTTTAAAATTAAACTAAAATAAAATGAATTATCAAATAAAAGGAAAAAAAGCACTCACCTCGGGTGATGATCGTCCAGCTACCTCAACTGAAGTAAAGGGGGATGCAAGGAGGAAAATGGTCGGAAAAGACAGGAAAAGTCGGGACAGGGGACCTTCACCACGCAGATATCTCAGGAACCTCACCAACCGGAGCGATGACGACGATAAATTCATCAAATGAAGACAATAAACGAAATAAAATAAACTTTAAACTGGGCCACGATTTATAAAAATTACAATGACTCAAGACGACGACACGACGAAATCAAAACTCGATCTGGCCGACGACGAGGCCGGAAACGTGGCGGGGGGGTTTCCGAAATCTTATCCGAGTAATCCTTACGGCGTAAACAAATACTGTTACTCTATTCAAAACGCATTTAAAAATTTAGAAAATATTATTATTAATTATTGTGTTGGATTGCAATGGATAAGGCGACGACCCAAATTTAATATCGCTAATTTTTTAAAGATTGTGATTAACACATCACTAAAGGAAAACGTATTAAAATCCTTCAAAAACAGCAATAACAAATGATCGATAAAATAGTAACGTGTTTTGGTGTAATTACCTGGAATTGTGTATCCAGTCTGAATGGGTTGGTTTGAACTTTTTAGAGAAGACATGCACTTGCGAAGAAAAGCTGGAAAAGGCGAACGTATTTCTGCAGGCGGACGTCACAGCACATTCACTCCAGGGCAACAGTTATCAAATGTAAGCGGACACCGCGTTCACGCGTCCCTTCCACCTTCGATCCGCAATCGTGCCTCCCTACTTCCTCCTGCAAACGCCGGTATCAACAAACCGATTCGTATTTCCGTCGATTAATGCACCTTTTAACACAGACGACGACTCCTGTAATAAAATCTCATAAAAAAATGAGTTCATTCCTATCTCAGTTTCTCGACTCTTCGGTTCTTGTTTGCAGATGTAGACACCAAATTGGCAATCAGGATTAAGCGTTTTATCGAACAAACGGATCGAGGTTGTAAAGGAAACACACCTCCCAGGAGGATGAAAAAAAGAAAGAAAAACAACTTTTTCTATGATAAATATCCAAAAAGAACACACTTTCAACTATATTTCGCTATAGAAGACATTATTAATAACTACTTTAGTAACTAATTAAAATACATATTACAGTCCTTATTTGACAAATTGCAGCGCCGGACAAATGTAAACTTGCGCCAATGTCATCACCGGTGGTCTTGTTCGAATGACACACTTACGAAGCGTTTAGAAAAATATGGCAGGTTAAATGGTCTTTTGGTCACACACAATTAGCCCAGGTGGAAAACATTGTTGGTTATCCAAATAGAAATCGATTGATAAAAGGTATTTCCGTGGTCCTTGAATTCCCTGGAAACAGTATGGGAACCGGAGGGCGGTGAATTGAGGAAAGGTCTGTTTTCGATTATTCCGTCTTCACCTGCTGACAGCGTATCAGCACTTACGGAACGTAATCTCGGAGTGACGGTTTGGTCGGTCGTCATTTGGACTGGGCGAGTGGCCCGAGTGGGCATCGGAGTCGAACTCGTCGTCGTAGTGTCCTCGGTAGTCATCGAAGCAGAAAAGGAATAAAACCCTTCTTTTGCCGATTGGATCAAAGGGTATTTTCTATCACCGCATCTCCCGGTGTAGTCGTCATCGTCAATAGACCAAAACATGATGCCGCCGAGGTTTTGTTCTCTAGCGTACTCGCCCTAAAAGCCATAAAAATACGATACTTTATATCTAGTGATTATTTATAAACTACCTGGATTGGACTTAACATATTTTTTTTACATAGTATGAATCTGAAATCAAAAATATTTTTCAACGTACCGCCCCGAACCTCAGGGTTAAGCGACTTTTTTTTAAAATGGGAAGGTATCATTTTAAATACGGAATTAAATTCTACGACTGTTTTAAAGAAGATTTTACTTCGGGCACTTTTCTTTTAGTTTGTCGTTTAAGCGCTATTAAAGTTTGAAAAAAAAGTACAAATTTTATTTATCTCAATCGTCATTCGTTTACCTCCTAGTAACTTTAAGTTAATTAGTTAGTAGCTATTAGTTAGTAAACTAACTAGTAGTAAGTAGTAATTACTTCGTAGTAACTTTATTATGTTAATTCTAGTTAATTACATTTTCAAAATGGGCACCACAGATCTCCATACAAAACAAAATCCTATTAATTCATTTCGCACTTCATAGAAAATATATAGTGTTATGCTTATTAGAATTATCCCAAATATCGGCAATTGTGACGATTCAATTTTTTGGTTAGTGAGTAAACATTGAATAATTCTTCTGAGCTGATTTTAAGGAATTAAGAAATAATTTGTTTTCATCTCCAGCTAATCAAAATTTGATTTTGTAAAGTGTTAATTGTGTTTTCGTCGAAAAAAAAATATGCCGATGTGGTCTAGATGTTTCTAAGATAGGGTAGAATTAATTTATGTTTTTTGGAACTCCCATAATTTTCACAAATATGAAAGCGTGTGTCAATCATCCGGATCGTCCCGTTGTTATCAAGCAAATAATCAACAAATTTGGACAAACCGAAACAGTCATTTTAAAAAGAGAACAGGTACATTTTAATATCAAAAAAATTAAGAAACCAACTTTTGATTCAATTTTTAAACACGGTAGATATGAATTATTGCCGTCTTTTCTTTTAAAGGGAGCAATAGACTTAAGAGGTGGTTCTTCTCAACTTGAAACTCCTACCCGAACATGCCAGCACGTCGCCAGTAGAGAGTTTCGAAGAGTTCGGTCCGAAATATTCTCAAGAAAAACAAATTTCATTCATATAAAATTCAACTGCATCAGATCTTAATGAAGATGCCTCAGCTAGAAGCTTTTCAATTTAGGAAATTTTGAACAATAGAATTACAGTTGAACTGGGTTTGATACGGAGAATTGGTTTTAGTGACGAGCTTTTTTTTCGATATTGGGATAATTCTAATCTTTGTGCAATGAGCAAATCACACAATCTAAACGTTTGGGCAGAGATATTAGAAAACCATATCATAGGACCTTTCTTCATCGATGGCAATTTAAGAGTAGAAAATTACCTTGAGCTCCAAGGAGAAATTATTTGCCCGTTAATTGACGCTACGGTGGAAGAAAATGAGGAAAAATTTGAGGAAGGACAAATTATTTTCCAACAAGATTGAGCGCCACCTCACTACACAAGAAACGTGAGAGACTTTTTTGATGTCCGTTTCCCTTAAATATTGATAGGAAAACGAGGTTTAAAGGAAAGGATCTAAGAATATTGTAGAAGCATAACACCAGATATTTTCCGTGAAGTGCGAAATGAATTCTATTATAGGATTTTGGCTTGTATGGAGATCAGTAGTACCCATTTTGAAAATGTAATGCACTAGGATTAACTTAACAAAGTTGTTAGGAGGTAATTGAATTAGTAATTAATGATTAACTTAAAGTTACGAGGAGATGATTGAATGACGATTGAGATAAATAAAATTTGAACTTTTTATTTTTTCAAGCCTTAATAACGCTTAAACGACAAATTCTACAAAAAAGTGCCCGAAGTAAAATCTTCTTTAAAAAAACAGCCGTAGAATTTAATTCTGTATTCAAAATGATACCTTCCCATTTAAAAAAGGTGCTGAGCCCTGGGGACCGTGCGTTGAAAAAAACATTTGACTTCGGATTCAGATTGTAGGTAAAACATTAAGTAAAGACCAATCTATTTTTTTTAATTATGTCTAAACAAAATAAATAAAAGGGGTAGATTATAAATAATCACCCGATTTACATATTTACAAATTTTATTCAGTGATTCTGTATTTTTTTTCTTTCATTAGTAGTGAAAACATTTTTAAATATAATCTATGGTTATGTTAACGGTTTTACGATATGTAAATTTGTAAAAGCACGAAAAAGGAAACTAATTAAATAATATATTTAACAAAAATTAACACGTGCTTTACCTTTCTTCTGGCGCTGTCTTCATCGTCAAAGCTAACCCAATTTTTACCTTTGTGTGCATAAGGACCCAAGGCGGTTCTGTTGACGTGCACCACCTGCCAGCCCTCTTTTATTATGTCTTGACAGATCTGTAGTTAGAGAAAAACTGTTCATATTTATATCATAATATAGATTGATAATTTTTCAAATAAACAGACAGAAAAATGTAAGAAAATAAGCACGAACGACGTATAGGCAATACATAAATCAAATTAGAAAGAACAAATCAACTACGAACCAAAGGATTTATTACGTTGTGTGGAGGTCTGAGGGAAGAACGTTTTGACGATGAAGATCTACTGATCAACACATAGCGACGATATGCGGACCAAAACCATTTGGGGCGATTAAACTTCGAACAAGTTCAACAACAATCGCAGGTAAATAACGCAACGTTTCACAATTTCAAGAATATAATTGCCTACATATTAATTTCGTAGTTCCCGAACATTTTCGTCTGCCTATCCGGACTCTGCTGTTGTATTTGGCTAACAGGTTATCTGAACATGATGTCGACAATGGACAGACCCACTAATGAAGATGACAAGAAGCCTAAACGCCGCCGTACAGAAAGCGTGGAGCAGTCCAAAATGATCAAAAACGACAAAACTACAGGTTCGTCGCCCCGCATACCTCAGGAAAAAATACAATTATTATTGCATTATGCAGATAAGAAGGCCCGAGGTGGACCAACGAAATCAGCAACTATTATCTCAGGGAATTTCTAAGAAAGAATACAAGACTGGCTTGGTGATGAGTCGAGTAATTCAGAATACTATAGGAAAAGTAAAATGCAAGAATAAAAAAAATTTCACCGTGAAATGCTAGAAAGACCGATCTTCCAAAAGGAAGAGGCTTCCTCAATCTCTTCGAGAAATATGTGTGCAATAACATATGGGTGAATCAGTAGTTGTAAAGATTCTTGAGAACGCTTTAATTATTTATTATCATTTAAATTTGTTTATTTAATTAACTAAAACTGAAGACATCGAGAAAATATGCTTTCATTTTTCTTTTCATTTCGACTTTTTTTCATTACGCCAAAACCATCTCATAATATGCACATTACATATTTTTAAATTATTTTATGCGTTATCCATAGGAAAATTTTTGCATGCGCGACATCGAAGAGTACTTATTTCTGGGTAAGGGATTTTCGTTCAAAAAGAGTTGTCCTTTTCTTACCTCGTAGAAAGCCTTATAGCCAATTTCCCTAGTCGAAACACCTTCTGGCCCCTCGCCGTCGGACGGCGAACCGATTTGATGCATATTTTCGTCCATCAGAGTAAACGTCCTCCCGTACGCTGGAATGCCAAGGACGATTTTCTCTCGTGCGACTCCATGTTCTATGATAAATCTGACGGTCCAGTCCTGTAATGAATTACGATTTAATATAAGAATAACAGTACAAGCAAAATGATATTGCCTAATACGCACCACATTCAATTTGGCTTCATCGCCAACTTCTTGAGGTAGTGCATAAAGGGGAGAATGGTGATTGACGACGAGATCCGTTGAAAGGTGGTAATCGTAGCACACTATGGTTATGAATTCGACATACCTGAAAATACACGAGCGTTGAATTGTAATTCCCGTTGTTCTTAAATTTCCTAACTTCATGATATTTGACTCTTGGTAGTACTTTCCAAGTGCTCAAAAATAACTTATAAAAAACTCAAAAACGTTACGATTTGTTTCAAATACTTTTGTATTTCTGGAAGGTCAAAACCTTTTTCTATGTATTCTGTGTTTTGTGGGGCAGAAGTAGTCAACAAGAGTTTATCTAGGGTCGTATTCTCAGCGTCAAATTCATCTTTCAGCGTCTGAAATGTAAGTTACTTATGTTCTATTAATTTATTTCGTAAGAAGCGAGGGAGGGCTCTCAGTACCTTGAGAAGCTCGACAAAATTGTTTCTGTCTTTATCAATCGAACCTTCTCTAAATGCCGGATACTGCCAGTCGATGTTTATCCCTTCGAAATTGTATTGTCTCAAAAACTGTATCACCCCCTTGGCGAACGTCCTGCGGCTCTCTTCCGATCTGGCGATGGCCGAAAACCGCTTGGAACCCTCTCTCCAACCGCCGATGGCCGCGAGAAGTTTCAAGTCTTTGTTCATCGATTTGAGATCGGCGAACTGTTGGAAGCCTTCTACAAATCAATCAATCAATCTATCAATCCGACGCTAATAAAGAAATGAGCCATACATTGAAAGAACACAATCCGGACTTACTTCTGTCGATATCCTGAAAAGAATCGAACGCAGCAAGGCCGCCCAAATCCTCCTTGAACGTAAGAAACGCATAAATCAAATGGGTGCACAACGAAGGATTTATGTCCTTCGGAAAAAATGCCAATTCCCCAGGCCGGTACGAACTCCAATTTGTGTAATAGCAGACGACTTTTTTGTTTTCCATTTGTCCATCCTGCTCTGAAATTATTTCATACCACCTGTTATTGTAATAACTTTCAAATATTTACATTAATTAAACAACATATTCTGCAATAATAGTGGCTATTTCAAGAAGAAAAAACCTACTTACGGGAAGAAACTTCTAATGTTGAAATCAACAAAAAAGTTACTATTAAATTTGACCAAAAGTATAGAGTCATTTTAATTGTACTTCTCATTCACTTTCGTAAGGTCGCTGGTGAATTTCTGAAAACAAAGCATATAATTAATTTATAGCAGATTAAAATAACATGATCGCCAATAAACCACATTAAGCTGTTCAAAAATGAGTAGGGATATTGCCAATTTTGTAGCTTTCCCTAGCATTTTTATTTTATTTTTATTATAATATTTTATTATAACTGCATTAAAATTTATTAGAAATTATTATGTTTTTACTGAAGGAAAATTTAAGGGATTTTCAAAAATAACAAAACAAAATGTTTTAATTCCGTATTTTTGTTTATTGGACACAATAATTTGATTTTAAACAATTAATTCCGTGTATAATGTTCTCTGTTATCTAAAACCTCTGTGCACCTAATAGGCATACTGTTAATAAGGTTGTCACTAATTTCATAAAGAGTTTCACTCCATAGATGACTTCACTCTTGTGGACACTCTCGACAAGAATGGCACAATTACACAGAAAACAAACACTTTAAGCCCTGAAGATGATCTCAATAAAGATCGAAACGTTGGCACGATAAAGAAAATGTTTTTCTGAAACCTACATCACATCAGACCGCACCTCACGATTTCTGAATAATCATCGACTAACGGTCACTAATCACCTCAAACATGAGTAATCTTCATGTTTACTATTCTTAAGTAAATTCGTTATTAAAATCGAGGATTAACATTTGTTTGTTTTTGGTTTGTATTTTCTATTTTGTTTTATCCACCTAACAAGAATATATTGGTTAATTTAATTAAAATTAATAGAATACGAATAAATTATAAATATCCCTATTCATTTTTGAGCAATTTATTTCAATTATAAAAATTTTAAATCTGTTGTAAATAAAATAATCCTCAAACGAGAGCGATGTTCTTGTAAGTTATGAAAGACATTTGGATACTTGACAAATCCAAGCCTGTGGAAGGGGCTACGAATAGAAGGTCACAAAAATATAGAAAAGAGATACAACAGAAAAGCAGTACGAGGGACCAAAACTGTTAATGAAAACTCACTAAAAGCGTCTTACACGATAAGTAATCGAATGACACAGGCAGGTAAAGCTCATACCGTCGCTGAAATCCTCATAAAACCGTGAATTAACGGTATTGTATCTTGAGGAAAAATAATAAGTTTTATTTAAACATGTAAAACTTACATGTTCGGTGCTATTATCAAAAATACTGTCAACAGTCGTATACTTGATTTATCAAGCGATGTAAAAGAATAACTGGTTTCTCGCATCCGACACATTTTCTTTCCAAATCGACGAATTACTGACGGTCGCGGGGTTGACTGATTTGGTTGGCTTTTGTCCGTTAAGAATACTCGGGATGTTTTGATGAGGATCTTCTCTTGTAAAAACCACTTCCTGCCAATACAGCAGGTGATGAAATATTCCGTTTGTTGAACGATGTTTCTACAACCAATGGTCTAAGTGCAGATGGTGCAAAAGCAATAACTGACCGGAGTGAATATTAAATAAAAGATAAATTGGAGGGCTGCAGTAGTAGACATTGTGTTCTCCACAGACATGCTTTTGCTATAAAACAAATGCCAGCCTCTTTTAAGAAAGTTTTGGATGAGTCTGTCGCGGCCATTGAAGTCAAGAGTTTTCATACTATTATGTGACGATTGGCACATTCATCAATCTTCTCCATACAGAAGTGAGGAGGCTGTCCCGCGGGAAAGCACTTTCCCGATTACAGGAATTACGAGAAATTCCCAATTCCCAACAACTGGAGATACAATGTAAGATCATGAACGGGTGGTAAAACCGTTTAAATAAAGCCCAGCCAGTTAATCTTCAAGAGAATACGAATGTTTAATAGACCATACTTCTGATTCCACCTTGAAATGTACTTTCGAGTCCGATACTTACCTCAAGGCTCCAAAACAAAAAATTTAACCAGTCGTCGAAAAAGCAAAACGTATTCTTCATTTGCCACAATTTACCTATGCGAAAACTCATTTTCATTCTAAACAGCCACCAAAACTAAGTTGTGTAGATGCTGAACCCGACATCCATCTCTAGCTAACAAAAATTAAGCCCAATATACCCAAAATGTGCATGCTAAAACAACCTTACTCTTCTCATTAATCATAAATGTTCAAATTAATACTTTTGAATCTAGCACAAGTTTTACCTAACGATTGATTCTGTTCAGTCAAATTTGATTTCTGTGTTCCGGATTTTGTAAACATAATTATGCCAATCTAATGATTGTATTCATAGTGATATTTCCTTCCATCACTTAATTAGACTGGCTAATTCATAAAACTTTAATTTACTAGAAATCCCATTTTAAATACTTGAATGAGAGGGGGTCCGCCCTGGATTTTGTTCTATGACAGAGGTCTGCTGGATTTTGCTGTAGGGAAGCCGTGGCCCAATGACAAATTGCAGATTTTACAAAAGGCCTTTGTTAATTATTGTAATGCATATTATTTTTGCATTTAAATTCTTAAATAATTATTTTCTATTATTTTAATATATTTTATTGTATATCTATTTACACTAAACACGTATAGAATATGAAACCAAATTAATTGAAGTCAAATAAATTAGAATTGTTTACCATTTGAAGGTGAGCTTTTTACAGTTACTATACTGAAAAATCATTTGCACGTTCCTTGTCTAGAGTAATGTAATGGTGTACCACAAGGCTGTGTATTAGGAATCTAATGACTTACTCACGATTTCACATTATAGACATTCCTACGCGTCGGCTAGTTGACGATGTGGCATCACGCAGACTCTCATATACAAGCTGAGGAAGAAATAGCAAACTGGTGTCGAAAATTTTGGATTGAAGATGTATCAAATCTATCCTGCAATATTAGGTGCATATCAACTAGCTAACGAAGGGAATCTAATTAATTATTCGTTCGATTTAAGATTTGAGTGATTGAACGGTTTAAGTACCTAACAGCCAAAAGTCGACAAAGGTTCACTAACTTCGACATGAGCCAAACGTAAGACCTCCATTATACCTAGAAACGAAACGTCTGTACATAATTGGCCAATCGTGCAGAGAAATGCATCCACTACTCAGATATTATAGACTAATTACAAATGATGAAACTCTACAACTAGACTGTAGACAAGTGTCAACACTCGCTCACAAACTAGCGCACCACCACCTTGACATGAAAAAAGTTAAGCCCAGCTCCTTGAACTTTAGTTCACTAATTATATTTATTGTTAAACTGGTATCCGTTATTTCATTTAATTGTTTAAAAAAAACTCAAGTGAATTATTAATTTGAAGGTTTCCAGTGTGCAACATCCATTAATAATTGAACTTGCGAATTAGGTTTCGCATAATGAAATGCATTTCTGCTCAAACATTTCAAGAATAACAAAGTGAATGATTAATTAATAAGAAATTAATAAAGAAAGAGGAAGGCCTCTTTCCAAACTCATTGTTTGTCAATATAAACTATTTGATCTATAAACTAGTATATTCAATGTACAATAAAGATACCTGAGATGAGATCCAAGCTCTTCCACAGACGCACGTCTATTAACAGAATGGATACATGTTAGTCATTTTTGCGATCGTAAAACCCCATCATCCGCACCTTCACCCCCTCCCAAAGTTCAGTCACGTTTCCGTACCTGAGCTTGGAAAGCCCAACAGGGGAACCCCGTCTTCTTTCCTGGGCAATCAATGACTTCCACGTTATTTCCAATTCTTCTTCTTAAGTATAAAAAAAGTTCAACTTCGAATTTCATGATTCATAATAAACTTATGGATGAAATCAGAGGGACTTACTTAGTCACTATCGCTATTCTCTCTTTGGTTATGAAATATATGTGACATTACATTGAACATTAAGACAGACGCGCGCGTGTACGCATGGATATTTTCCTGTTTGTTCCTTGTAAATTATTTATTTTTACAATCGTAATTAATTATTTTGTCAAAAAACTGAGATACAAATTGTATCGTTCGTTTCTAGCCTCATATTTACAAAAGCATAAACGGATACTTGAAATCCCTCCACCACTTCAATGGACCAATAGAGAATTTAACGTTAGTTTCGGCGGTAGATGTACTAAATTAGAACGTTATAGTTCCTTTAAAAATTAATTTCCCTCATCTTTTGTTCAAATTTGCAAATTTATTTTTTTATTCATTGGCCACTATTAAATTACTTTTTTAGTCAAGCTCACTTACAAAACTTTATTATACTTTATAATAAACATAAAAGTTGTATTGATTAGGCTAAAATATTATGAATCTATGGCATTTTTCCTAGTTTTCATATATAATTTGCATAGTAATAAATTTTTTAAAAATTACTTACTCGTGAGGGCTCTATGATTTCTTGCTGATAATAACTTTGCTTTTCAATATATTCTCTCAGTGCAGGAATTTGAAAAGTATAGACAGTGTCACAAAGAAGCCAATCGTTCAAATGCCTCAACCTTTACGCTTAAAAATCTTGTGAGACTTCTTCCCCCACTGGTTCTTCAGAAATGGCCTTGGTATAAAAATATTCCCATCACTTATTTCCAAATCTTTTTTTTAATATATTTTACGTTTGCTTCTAATTTTTCAAAATTTGACCTTTTGTCCTTGCTATGTACAATTTGTATGTATCATATATTGAATGTTAATGGCTACTTAATTTTAAAGAAATCCCGGGGGACCAAAGTTCCACTCATGATACTAATTTTTCATCCCAATTAACTAGGATTTGGTTTTTAGATTCTTTTTAGGTTTAACTAGGACCAACTAAAAAAATAGATTCATTCAGAGAAAGGAATGTCTCATACACAACATACACAATGACCTGTTGTCATTTATGGTTGAAAAGTCCAACTGTTCATTTTTAAAGGAATGAAGGAAAAAGGGTTGGAAAATAAACTGATTACGAAAACTTTTGTTTATATTTTTTTTCTTAATTTTATACTTTTTTTTGTTTGACAAGAAATTATTGATTTACAAATGTTCTAAATTTATTAAACACAATCAAGCCCCACATTCAACAATATACAACTCAGTTTTACAGCAATAAGCAACAGATTGGTTTAAATTGTTTATATTCATATAATTGTTATCTCTGACAAGATAATTGAAAAAGAGAACACGCACACATACACCCAAACAATGAAGGACTGCAATGCTTTCCAAAGCAACAATTGTTATTTTTGTTTTGTCTTTACAATAACTATAACAAATAATATTTTAAAATATAATTCATGAGAATAACATAAATAAATGCATTTTATGAAAGTAACAAAAAAAAACCATGGCTACTTTAAAATTTTACTCATGCCATGGAAATAAATAAAACTTCATAAATTATTTTGTTGTGTCAATTAAGCAAATAAAATGACTCAGTTTATTACATACTTTTTTATTCAAGATCCCTTTTGAGCGATAGTACAATTTTTTTACTTTTTTTTAAATTTTTTTTTTTTGTAATATGTAAACTGCTCAAAAAGAAAGTAAAAAATTACTGTACAATAACCACCCTAGACATACTCTAAACAATCAGTATTTTATTGTTTAAAGAAAACAAAATGGAAAAAATTAGAAATTGCGAGACACCTTACAAATGAATATTCACTCTTTATACATACATTTATATTCAGCTGTAATTTTCTTTTTCCAAAGAGAGGTAATTTTTTTTTAATTTTTTTCTTTTGTTAGGAAAAAGTAAGTTTGGTCATGTTAAGAATAAATACAAGGCCAAACAATGGTCTTGTAATAAATCCTTTATTTTAAATATTCCTCCTCACTTTGGGGAAGTTCATAATTTTTTAATTTATGACAAATTATGCCACAAAGCCAGCATGTAGATAGACAATTTTTTGTAAGTTAATATTTTATCATTGTTACATAATTATTTCATAATTTTTAATATTAATTATTTTGCCCAAATATTTCACATGAATCACTCATTTACAAAACTGTACATTTGAGGTACGGTTGACAATTTGTTTTTCCATAGTAACTTTAATAAATTTGTGCATTAGAGTTTTGACTTAAAAACACAGCTTATTTACTCATTTATAAGAACAAGAATAATAATGAAAAATAACACAGCACTATAACTGGATCAAATATTTCTCTCGCTCATTTATTTCAATTTCTTTGTCAATGTACAAAAAATGAAAGAAAGATACAAGCTAATAACGTTTTTTTCTGCAGTACAAAGAAGCAAACTTTTTTTGTGTTTTAATTTTTTTTTAAATAATTTTTTTGTATATGAATACATCCATATAGAATCCTCTACTAAGGATTTTATATATATGAGAAAGTAAAAACAATGTATTTACCACTTTAACACCCCAAGTACAATACACTATATGAAACACTTTAAAAATTTATTATTTATTTTTTAAAAGTCAAAGTTGGCTATCAGAAAAAAATATGTATAAATTAGGTTGGAGAAATGGTGGCAGTATTTTTTTTTTTTTTTTTGCATTTTTTGTATTTTTTATTTTATTTTTTTAATGTTGATAATCAAGAGTACTGGAATCATGAGCGATTGGTTTCAGTTTACGCTCACAGCACCATTTCACACTAAATTGTACTCTTTTAAGTTTGATTGCAGTATAGTGTCCTTTACAGCTGCAAAGACAAATCGTATATTCTCCGTATCTGTGAAGAGGAAAAACTATTAATCTTCTCACCATCAGATTTCATTTAAAACAAATTCATTTTGAAAAAGTTTCCTTATGAGGTATTAAGTTTTTGTAAGACATTACAATGCTAGCAAGTTACTATAAATGAAATATTATGATTTTGCACATTTATTATTATTTTTTAAAAATTATAACTATTCACATGGACATGCATTCATTCAGTTATTAAATATTTTCAAGTTTAATCATTTTAACACATGCATTTATCAACCCTCAACCCCAAATTCATCACCATACAAAATTCTAAGCATTTTTTATTGAAACTTGGCAAAAAAGAAAATGAGGAATTCCTTCTGACTTATTGAGACAATAGAAATAAATTGAGGGTGTATGTACAAATAAATAAATTTTACCAAAATGATAAAAACAAAACTAAATAATAAATCTATTTTACTGTATGAAATTATTTATTTATTAGTTCATCATTTATTTTGTCTCAAACCATCTTCAGAATTAAAAGTTTATTGTTAACATTTCACAATTTCTCATTTGAATTTCATGCAGAAAAGAAGGGTAATAAAAAAAAACAATGCTTCTTCTTTTTATTTTATTGTATGTGTACAAAGCCAAAACATAAACCTGAAACCCAACACCTATGTAACTTAAATTAATAAAATATAATAAAACAGTTTGGAAATAAATTAAAAAATGGGTTAGGCTAAATTAAATTCCTTTAATGCCGATTGCATTATTGTATCCTTTACAGCACAGAACACCAACTTAATATTTTCCGTATCTGTAAGCATGCAACATCCACAAAAATTACAAGTTAGCAAAACAGAAATTGTTGAAAGGCAAACAAATAAAATAATAAAGTAACAGCAAAGCAAGAAATGGAAAACACACGGGTTAGATGAACATGCAGCCAAATCATGCTTTTTCCCCAGGCACACCGGTAACAATGTCTACCTGTTGCACATGTGAAGTGAGAGTATATAATCTTCTCGCTGTCAGGGTTTAAGTCGACAAACATTCTGAGTATGAACTCTCTGGCAGCTATCGCATCTCGCTGTGGGCCTGGGTTATCAAGAATTTTACACAAATTAACAAATATCTAAATCTACATCAAAATACAATATGAATATAATAATGTTACACATTCAATTTAAAACCATTTTGTTGGGATAGTACAGGATTAAATTTTAAAAAATTACCTACTCAACTAGTTATGTTACAAATATTTTCAATTTACTGATTGAGTATTGGTGATTTTGCTTGTTTATTATTCCAGATTTTTATCACTACTACAATTACACAGTTTAATTTAATGTGCGGTCAGTACGAAATGGCACTGTTTCTAAAATCAATAATCAGTCGAGTAGTTTACATATTTGGCATAAATACTGTTAAGTTGCAACTAGTGATCACTCATCCACAAGTGAGAACTTTTGTACTCTGATTTAAAGCTTAGCTTTTATGTTGCTCAATTATAATTGACAGAAACACTAGCCGCAATTTAAGTAGAATCAAAATTAAACAAAATATTTTTAGAACATAATGTGTATTGCATAACTTTGTTCGTGTTAATTTCATTTCAGTTATGTATGGTAATGGTGACCAATATCGTTTAAAGTGATTTTTATTAAAGAACATATGTATATTAAATCTTATTTAGAGAAAACAGGTTTAATATTTTCTGTCTAATAGATGTCAGTCTAATGTTGAGTTCAAATGCAGGGCCACTGGATTCAAACCAGGGATCATTACCTTACAGTGATGAGAACCGTGTCAATGCCTAAATTTTTGCAGCCACCGAAATGTATACCAATAGATGCGACACACCGAAACCCCTGATTAAACTTTAAAAAATGTTTAGAGACAGTGGGAAATTTGTTTGAAGGTAGTGGGCATGATAGAAAAGTAAAAACTACTTATTATAATAATTCACTAAAAATTAAATAATAGTTAACAATAAAATAATAATATTAAAATTAACAAAGTAGCACAAGGGAAACTGAGCTACTATTAGTGTACCTAATTGCATAATACTTATAGCAGTTTTACCGTATGAGTTGTGGTTTTTCATTATGACATAACAGAACAGAAATTTTCAATAATTCTGCAAAATGACCATTAAATGAAATATGGTTTGGAGCTCTCACTTATCAGTTGATACAGCTGAAAATACTTGCTATTAAAGGAATAGGTTGAGAGGAGGGGCTCAAAAAGTGACAAACGTTTAGGCTGAGTAAACACATCCTTAATTACTAATTTATTACTAATACTAATTTCAAACTAATTTTCAAATTGTAGATCGGGGTCTAGCTCATTAATTATTGTTCTAGTTTCATCTTTTATTTTGATAACTTGATAAGTTATTAATAAAATTCTTTGAGGGGGTACTCTTAGGTCCGCTCTTATTTATCGATCTCTTCCTAAAATGATTATATACACCTACCTAAAAGTACTTTACAATTAAAAGGGAGGAGTGTAGATAGCTGAAGGATTTTGCGAACTTACGGGCATACGGGTTAACTATTTGCAAAATAAAATAAAACAAGAACGATACTATTTGAAAACATTTTCATATATGATATTTTGAATTATATTATCGCTGAAATGGCACTAATTAGTCCATTTTTTTTTATATAAACGAATCTCTGGTCTTCCTGTTCTGCCAGATATGTTTATATCATAATTTACTTGCAAAAATGTACACCTTCCAAGAACTTTTCACTTATATTCAAGGAAAAAGTCATGTTTTCAATTCTTCAATAATTAATTACTTCAAAAACTATATAAAGGCTACAAGGGTGAGCGCGAAGCACCTATTTTGTGTGGTACTATCGATTTGGTCACCTGTAGCAGTAGTAAAATGAGAATAGAGCATCCTGTCAGGATCAGGGTTCTGCATACTATACTGTTTGAGAATGTATTCACGAGCAGCAACATGGTCCTGCTTTGGCCCTACAAAACCCGTAATTCTATTATCTGGTTACACTCTTTTTTCTGCCTCCTCAACTAAATTTTCTTTCATAACCTAGCTTAAAATAAAAAGGTGAAAAAAAACATGCGTTATTTATTTTTGGCTTACCATCATACTCGGGGAAGTAATCCACTAGATGTGAATACATGATCTTTTCTTCGAGCAGATCTTTTTTATTTAGAAAAAGGATTACTGACGAGTGCTGGAACCATGGGTATGTGATGATAGTCTTAAAAAGTGCTTTTGATTCTTCCATTCGGTTCTGTTCACAAAATAAATTATTTACAAAAAGTCTACAATTTTAAAACTATAATAATAAAAGAATAAAAACCTCATTTTCCGATTCAAATAAAATCTGATCATATTCACTTAAAGCGACCAGAAATATTATTGAAGTAACGTTTTCAAAACAGTGGATCCATTTTCTCCTTTCTGATCTCTGCCCTCCTACATCAACCATCCTATTAAGAAAAAAGTATTAAAATACAACAAAACAATGATATTACAAGAATATTTCATTAAAACGCAATTAGCAAAAAAATTTAAATAAAAATTCATGCTTTAAAATTGTACAGAGCATTCAATCAAATTAGTGCAAAGAAATACAAACTGAAATGAAACCAAAAAAATATATTATTTATCTGTAATTATACTACATGTACATTATGCATATTTCCTTAAATTTTTGTTTGTTAAAACAATATTTTTTTTTTATATATTTCCACTACCTTTATTTTTTTAAATTATTTCATTGCTGCTTCATTCACTGTAGTGCTTCATGGGCTAAATTAATTTTATCTACCACTATGTAGTTTATAATATTCAGACGTTAAAATTATTACAGCAAATAGAGATAAATTATTTCATTTTTAACTAATTAAAACAGATCACAAAATAACTAACTCAAGATATTTGTATTTAAATGTAGAACAAATGGTACTGTTCAACTGTTAAACTTAATCAGCGTAATACATTTATTTTAGCTGCAAATGAAGGCTGGAAATTAAATTGTATTGTTCATTTGTATTTAGTTTTGAATTAAAATATTTGGCACAAGCTAGATGAACATTATGTGAAAATTAAAATTATGGGCCATGATTACTCATAAGAATCACCCATAACAATTTTTTTTTATTGTTAATAAGCACACACTATGTACATGTAACTATCAGAAAAATCTCATCTGCTTCATCCAACAGTCAAAAGTGCACAATCACAAAGCTGTAGATAAAATTATATGTCAATAGCAAATAAAACAGCTGTAAGCTGAAAAAGGGCATAGAAGTAAGCATTTATTATCCCTAATATTTTATATAGGCGGTTAATGAAAGAGAAATCCCAACTGTCAAAGGTAAATAAGAAGTATGATAAATTAAAGCGCGACTGAGAGAGAAAAAAAATACTATTACAATTGCAAAATAAATAAAAGAATAAAGAAACTCAATACCTAAATATAATTGAATCGAGATCAAAAGGATATTCAATGATGCCAGTGGTAGGCGCCCTGGCTCTGAGGATGTCTTGCTCAGTTGGCAGATAGTTTGGGTTTTCAATCCTCTCTAGATCGCTCAGGTAACTGGTCATACCAACATGCAAACATGCATAATTACTTAGACAAACCTGTTTGTAAAGCTTATCATGCTTCATGCAAAATGTGTACATTTTGAATTAAAAAAAAAAAAAAAAGGAAAACATGTCAATTGTAAATATAAAAATTTTGATTTTGCCCATATGCCATATCAATTTAAGCTTTCGTGCAGTCCATCCAATAATTCAGCTATTCTGCCAGCTTCTTTTACCTAAACCGAATCTCCTCTAAATCAAATGGGTACTCTATGATCCCTGTTGTCGGGACCCTCACTCGCAAGATGTCTTGTTCAGTCGGAAGATAATTTGTAGCTGCTACTCTGTCTATTTCCATTAGATAGCTAATCAAGATAAAGAAATAAATTAATTCACTGTCAAATATTTTCAATGAAACTTTATCTATGCCGTTGATTTCCATAAATCTTAAACGATATTTTACCTTTTCCTGAAAATACTACAATTTATAAACTAATTTCAACGATACCAAATCTATATTATTTGAAATACAAATTAAATTAGGGATTAAGTTTTAAGAACATAGGTATTAAAAAATAAATGCAAACGGCATTATTTTGTATATATGTATTATACACATGTACATACATATTATGTATTATAGACAATTTGTAAAACATTTGTGGTCATTATGAAAAAGGAATGAACACAATATGTACTTTCATATTTCTAAAATTTCAAATCAACAACATATACGACTAAATCAACCATACATATGTAACATTCCAGAGTCATAATGCTACATGTGACCACTTGCATTTGTTGTGGCTGTGAATCCGTAATCGTGGAGGCAGCACGATATAACCATATGATGTATAAACATATAATATATGTATAAATACACAAGGGAGTGAGTATGTATTATAATGGTGGAAGTACACAGTGTTCTTGACCTCGCTTCACTTCATGCCCTCTCGCCTAGCCCTTCGGGCCGCTCACCCTTGCAGCGGTATATGAGCATGAGACAAAAAGCCGAGAGGGTAGTGGGGGTCTCGTGCCATGCACTTGTCTATTTCCTACTCCCCAGCACATGGTTTCAGTACTTCTCTGAATTGGCTAGTCACTTTTGTTAATTGACTTTTATTTTTTTTAATTACGTTTTTAAATTATTTTGTGTTAAGTGATTATCATTTCAATTAGGTTAGGTTCCCTTGCTAGAGAGTACATGTTGGTACACTGGTCTCTGCCTTGGGATGCCTCACGTCGAGATTCTAGCTTTCGAATATTTCAGTGTGTTCTACCATAAAAGAGTGAACGATTTAGTTTTAGATAAGTACTTTAAAAATTGATTCATCTTAGATATGTTTTATAGTGTATTTGTACACTAATTGCATAAATGAATTAACATTTTTAGGAATAAATTGATTTTGTCATTATATGCAATCCAACAATGTTATACATATAATTCAGACCAAGACAATGCATATGAAATATGATTGTAGACACATATTTTTAATCTCTTTGAAACTATTTGTGAAATCAATTACTTATTCCATTTCACAAATATTTTACTATTAAACTAAAAAACGAAAAGAAGCTGTCTTCACAAAGTATTTATTCCATAAGAATTTTCCTGAAATGAACATGAGCCTACTACACTAATTTAACAAATTTCTGATGAAAATGTTATTTTATGTTTACTTAAATTTCCTGGCAACTTTGAAAAAGATAATATAATGCAAATTATAGAACAAACAAAAATAATGCAGTGTTAAAAATATGGGAAGTGCAAATTAATCACTAGGATTCTATTATTTTAATCCTTCTTCTTCGCTCCAACTTTAAATATACTTTGAAATAAGATAGCAATTAAACTTTACCTCCAACTCAGGAAAAAATTATACAAATTAAACAGTCATTTTGATTGAAACCAATAAGTTATACTAAACCTGTACAACACTCATGTTGTGCATGTTATGAATGAGTGCCAATAAAATAAATTAAATGAGAACTCACTATTTGGCTGAATCAGTTAACTGGTACTCCCTCCGTCTGTCATAACACTCCTGGATCCCCGTATCGGCCCAGAGTGCTTTGATGGCTTCAACATATGGGCTTTCAAAAGTTGTTACAGTTTCAAAGTCTACACTCCGTATCAGTTCAGCCTTTTCCTGTTGAAATAATATTGATAACCACTCTGGGCTTGGTTTTAAAAAGCGAATATACTTACACTCATAGCTGGGTTTTTGTACTGTATTTTAAGGAGATCCATGGCTCTTATCATAGACTGCATGGCCATGAATATATTTTGGTAGACGAGTTTAATGAAGCCCCGTTTGTCTTCATCTGAGTAACCAGATCCATGGATAATTCTCATCTGTTTGATGAAAGTGGATTTTCCAGATTCTCCAGTACCTGTAAAAATCAAGTAAAAAAAATGATTCACTTTTAATTCTTCTAGCTACGTAAGCATTCATAATTCAATATTTGTTGAGAGCAAATTTAACTAAGGGTTTAAGATTTGGCTATCATCATAAAGGTTTAAAACACTATTTTTACAACACAGTACAGTCAACCCTCATATAACATGATTAACTCGTATGATCCGAAAAAGCCTACCTACAGTTTCAAAAAGACCCCCCCAAGAGTAAATCTCACAATTTATTACTTTCCTCCAATCGCAATTTTCAGGGTGTTATCAGGACATTTGGACCTGAGACCCATAATGGAAACAATGAAATGTCTGATCATTCAATTCATTCACCAATTAAAGCCACAACTAAATGTATTGGATCTTTTTTTTTTATGATCCATAGAGATTTCCTTACTTGTCCCTGAACAAAAAAAGTCTTTTTTGCCTTTTTCTAATGGACCACCCGCCATAGCTATTGTGAAAAGTTTTATCGACTTTCAATGAATTAATCTTTTGGATGTGTCAGAATCGGGGTTCAGGTCCTTTTTCTTCGGAATATTAAAAATTAATTAAATTAATTCAGGCATTGTAAATTAATCGGTTCCTAAGGAGGACTGTCATAGATGATCATACGCTCGAACTAGAGGAAACAATAGTTTACTTTTTCAGAGAAATAAGACCTCAACCTGGATCACAACACATCCAAGAAACTTTTATTCTTTCAATTTTATTCTATGGAGGGTGTGTAATTAAGGAACAGAACACTCCAGATTCAAAATTTTCTCCTTTGGTAGAAGGTTTCTGTATTTTGGGGTTTCCTGTATTTTCCCTATTTAGGGTGTTTTACTTTTTCTTGTCGAGTTGGTAGGGAGAGACATTATAGGGTTATTCACCTTATTTTATCTTTAAAGTAACTATTGCAAAATACGACCATAAAAGGCAAACAATTACATTTTCTAAATACTACTTTTCAAGTTTTATAATAATGTCATATCAGACAAATTACAACTCATGAAAAACGTGTTCCGGGTAGTTAGGTTTTAAAAATTGCTCAATATATATGTCATTTTAACCGCACAAAATTTCCAAACAGCATGCTTGATGATAGGGTTAAAAATAATTGTATCTTATTTATGCATTTATGCAATACATATAGTAGAAAAAATTGAATTTGAGTTTTTTCTTAGAACTTATAAAAATCCAAACACATCCCTTTAAACACCGACCAATTCCTAGATTATAGTGCAAACCATGCTAATAAACTAGTTGAAAGTGTTATTGATTTTGTTAATATTTATGTATGAAATAAATGACAAGTGTTTATTTAGTATGATACAACTTTACTTATAAAAGTGAGGAATAATTAAAAAAAAGATCCTTCTTGTTTTACAGAAATCAGTAATGAAAATAAATTTTCGTTTAAAGAGAAAAACAGGCATGGAACAGTTCGGTCTGCCGATTAACATTTAAGGATTAATTGATTTTTAAAAAAAAAGTTTAAAATGTTTAAAAGTTTTAAAAAAATTTAATTTTTGGTCTTTTCCCGATAGACGTTTTCTGACGATATACATTAAATTTAAGAAATGCACCTATCTATTGGGAATGAAAGTTGGGCATACAGAAGTGAGTTTGGGTAGGTTAAGGGTTTCGCTTTCAGAGAAGTGACCCCAGGAAGAGATCTTTGTAAAAGGGCACTCCGCTACAAATCCGGGTTTATTTGTCTAAACGTAAATTTAAAATATATATGTAATTCATAAGGACATATACATGTATAAAATTAGATAAATTTTGTGACTCATGGTGTATTAGTAGTGTTTGAATTAGGAATGAAATTTGTTTAACGGCGGACGTAGAGGATCGCCATTTTGCACCGGGTGAGGAGGTCTTATCGATTGGTGGGACGGTCACACACACAAGCATGCACACACTCTCTCGCTCTCGCTCTCTCTATTTATTTACTCTCTTTCTCACTCTCTCTCTCTCTCTTTATCACTCCCTCTCTGAACACGCTCGCTCCCAAGCGAGCACGCATGCACGCACGCACGAATGGTCGCATGCACATGGGCCGGGGTCCTTCCGCCATCCCGTAAACGCTAGCCCTCTATTTATATTCCGAGAGGAAGTAACTAAAAGTAAATTTCTTCAACGGCTACAATCCGTTAAAAACTTTCATTTATTAGAAAATCGTCTTTCTTTATTTTTACAGACTATTATTAACACTTAATCGTTTACGGCTATTGTGAACAATCATTACATGACAATACAAATCACTTCTGGAAACTATTTTCAAATAGAAACAAAACTAAAAAAATCAGTAAGTTTGGAATAATAATTAATTTTAACTAATTATATCATTGACAATCATGTGGGATTACAACATAAAAAAGAATTTCCTAGCCATGAGACTGATTGCTGGGCTTCACGCACACACATAATCCTCAAAATAAGGATTGATAATTAATTTCGTAGTAAGGATTATATTTTTTTATAATAAAGTGTAAAGTTCAAATAAGCCTCAAAGATCGTAGTTATCCTTTTCATAACATATGATACTTTAATTTCTCAGAAAATCGGCGTTCATTATTTTTACAGTCTATTAGTACACTCATCGCCTTGGGCAAATGTGTACGATTGCATGACAATAAAAATAACTTTTATAAATATTTTCAAAATAGAAATATTTAAAAAGGAAGAAATACGCTACACTGGCTCCACCAAAACAGTAAAAATATTTTTTTTGCAAACATCAAGTTCCATAGTTTTTCCGTTAATTTAATTAAAATTATGGATGATGACATTTACGATAGGATGTCACCGGTGAATACCGCCAATAATATTCACACAAAAAACCTTAAAAATAAGGTTAAAAATAAGAGTCAATGAATATTTTCATTAATGTTATATAATTTTTTTTTAATTATTTAGTTAAAATAAACATCAACGATTATAGAATCTTACAATTTTTGCAAAGATTGGACATCATCCCCCAGACAGTTATTTCATATTAATTGTTGGGGAGGGGGTTTCTAATGGTTCATCCCTTACCAACAAAATTATAATATACATACACATTAATAATTACAATATTAATAATTACAATGGACATAAATGTCAGATAAAACATCAACGTTCAACGACCGTATGGTTCGTCGATCTTTAAAAAGAAAATGACTTGACCTTTGTGTGAACTTTTTTTCAGTTTTTACTTTCGTATAAATCGCAAAACTGATTAACTTTTCTGTCTGCCCAGAGGACACATCTAAATATAAGTTTATAATGAAAATAAGTTATAGAGACTATGTACTTCCCACTCGTCACAGCCAATGTCACTGTAATAAAATTCCATCGTCTGTATGAATGCAGAATAATAAAATATATTAATATAAATGCGAATTAAAAAGGGAACCTCTTCCAACCGCTTAAAACCGACAATTTGCAAAAAACTTTAAAAAACTTTTCTTCGTTATCTTCTTTCTTTTTCTTTTTATAGATGAAAAATTTCTTTTTTGTAGAAAGGGTTTTTAAATAAAATTGCAGTTTTTCAACGTTTCCACGATCCTGTGCCATTTTCAAAAACCTTATTACATTTTATTTCTGCAAATATAGTAAAAATAAAATTATGAAAATAAATTAATTATAAATATATTAAATACAGGAATGAATAATGAAAAGTTAAAAACAATTTTCCAGAAATAAAATGTAGATCGTTTTCGAAAATGGCGCAGAATCACCAAAACGTTAAAAAAACTAATTTTATTTTAAAAAACACCTTCAATAAAAGGCCTACAAAAAAAAATTTAATTTAAAAAACAATAATAAAAAAATTTAAAAAATAAATTTTAACGTGGAGGCTAAATGTAAGAATAGTCTTCGTGGTCCGCTTGACCAATTAATATCTTTCAATTAATTAAGGTTTTTAGTTGAGATAAAAAAGTCAGTGTCACGAGCGGGATTCGAACCCACGATCTTCGGCTAGATACGCCGCTGCTACCACGTGAGCTACCGTGACTTCGACCCACTCGGACACTTCCCATCTCAACCTCTCCTTTTGAATTTTCCCTACTTTTTGCCATTTTTCAAATGTCGTGTGATCTATTTGATTCTCGGCGACAAATGAAATGGCCACGGAGAGCTTTAGTGAAGTATACTTCATTTTAACATTACATAAATTTGTTAAAATAAATTTTAATTCATTTTTTATTTATTGTAGTTAGTTGATAGTTAATCATTGCATCTGTTACTTGTTATTAATTTATTAGTTTGTGTCTTCAAATTGTTAGTTTTGTCAAAATGTAATTTGTTATTTGGTAGGTCTGCACCTTTATTTATTCATGTTGTTGTTACCCTTTGCTGTTGTTGTTTTCGCACCGAAATTTTTTATTCTTAGTACTTATTGTGTCGATTAATCTTTATTGCTCTCGTTACTTGTTATTTATTTATTGCTTTATGAATTTCTAGTCATGCTAAAAAATGGAATTTGATACTTCATAGGTCCGTACTCTTGCTGAATGTTCCAAAACAAAGCAAAAAAAAAAAAACATTTACTTCATTTTTTGTAAAATAGTTTTGCCCCGAACGTTTTACTTTATTTATAATTCAAATAATGGACCACCGAATTCTCAATAAAAGAAAAATAGGAGCAAATAAAAATGTAAAAACATTCTCGCAAGACAAGTTAAGAGTTGAAAATTGATTCGCGAATAAATTAGTTAATGAATTTATTTCATTATTTTTAGGTACACATTTTTATTTTCCTTTTAGCCAAGTTCATCTGACAATAATGACTATTATAAAAAATTAATTCAATTAGGTCATGGTGTTTAGATATATCAAATATTAACACAGGATGAGAAAGAATACGAACGGAAATTTTAACCCGAATCATCTCACTGACCTCGTTCCGTCCGATCTGTTTCTCCTAAACAGGAGGATAAACCATAGTTTTTTATCAAGTTATAAAAAGTACAGAAAAAAACCTTGCTCTACGCCAGTTGTTAAAGTTATTGAATAGAAATCGCAAGGCGGTATCCATGATTTCTCATATTCTTAGAATAAAAAAATGGATATATAAATATGACTAACAAGAAGGATCTTCCATTAATAAGACACTTTTTTAACTATATTTTATAATCCGAATATAACGGAAAAACCCAAGAATAATCTACATCTATAATTTTTTTTTTTCCTTTTTCTGCCTATGCTCGGTATCTTCTGTGGAGGGTTTGTAAAGAGGAAATCCCGTCATCCGGACTCATCAATGAAGATGGCGAGATGCTTCTGACAGACCAAAGCAGAGAGCATGGGACTACAATGAATGATCAAACATTATATTTATCACCTCGAAGCCTAAGAAGAAAGAAATCTCATAATTTATTCTTACCATGTTAATTTATACTGCAATGGTATCGATTAATTAATAAATGAAGATGAAATGAGATGAAAGGTTAATCATGGGTACGACACCACTCACACACCACACCGATTTCAATAATAAAAAATTAAGGGGGCGTCGGTGCCGCAACGGTTTAGGCGTTGACACGGCGCTCATTACTGTAAGGTGAAGGTCCTGAGTTCGAATCCAGCGGCACTGCATTCGAACCCGACATACTTATAAATGGGCTTTTTTCAAAATCACCGACACCCCGAGGGTTGATATAACCTCTGCTGTTGCGAACCCTCGTAAAAAAAAAAATAATAATAATAAAATTACTATATCTACAATTATGTTGGTCAAAAGTTATTTATGGCTAAAATTCTACTGATTTCCACGCTTTTCCGATAGTGTTGACTTTATACATCACTATTACTAGTAATTGTTGTATATAAAAGAGGAGACATTCTTCAGGTGGAAGATGAGCGTGAAGAAGAATTTCTATAGAAGACCAATCCTGTCATTCAGATTTTCTAACAACTTTTTTAAACTAAACGTTGAATTATCATTTTAAAACAATTGAATTTCAAGATCACATGTTTATTTATTTTATTTTTTTACTTTGAGTATTTTTTTTTTTATTTGAGTTAAAGTGAATCTACATATTCATCCCACCTTCATCATTTCTACATGTTTATTACTGATGTTATTATTACCATTCCTAACCATCTTTGTTAAGTTAACTTATTTTAATCCTCCATATTTGTAATCATACATGAATGAAAATGGAAATGTAACTTTAAAAAACCTGTTTATAAGTTTTGAGGATTCCCTCCGAGTAAGGAATTGTGCAGAAGAAATAAACAAAATAAATACATAGTAAGAATACTGTTTTTCATTGTAGTTAAAGAAAGGGAATTATCTTTGACAATACAAACGGCAGGATAAATATATATTTTTTAAATAATTGTACCAACTAAACTTCTCGCTCTCCCATATACAGAACAAATGGATCTGGTCAATATACTACCCAACAATATTATTAATAATACATCTAAAGCCAGTTTGAAGAGGAATTTGAAAGGAACTTCTACAATGGTCAATTAGTTCATCTGGTGTATGTATGTGTGTATGTATATGTATGTGGGTGTATATGTGTATATATACGGATGTGCTTGTTGTTGTATATATATGTATGCACAATTAGCCTTATTTACAATTGTTTTTATTTACTAGACAAATCCCAAATATTATTTTTATATTCAAATATTCGTATCTAAATTATACTGAATGTTATTATTTATTGTGGTATTCTTTTATTATTGTCAATGTTCAATGTTTTTCAAGTTTTAAATGTTCTTTGTCTTTCTTGTAATTATTGTAATAAAATGAGTTATTTCCCGTAAGTAAATAAATAATGGTTGTATTACCATAAAACACAAAGCGCCAGATGCATAACCAGTATACAATAAAGCCTTTATGCATAAGTTGTTTTAAATAAGCCGCGCCGATTAATTTTAAGCTCTGTCGATTGTTTCAATAAATAAATTTTCTAAGGGAATATGGACGGCATGACAAAACGGAAAAACATCAAAAATGGATCAAATCAACGCCAACATTTAAGTTTTTAAATTTTGGAACTATCAAAATTTCCTAAGGATCTTGAAACCTATAAGTCATGCATATAACCATTTATACAAAACTATACCATTCTTCATGGCAAAATAATGGTCTACATCGTAAATTTACATGAATCACATTGAGAAATTAGACGGTTTTATTATCATCTTTTTCCAAATTGGAAAATTAAATTACTACTAATTATCTTGAGAAGAATGCGATAATCTGAAACGTCTTCCACCCGGAGAAAATGTTTCACTTCGAAAACAGAAAATCACAACGGATTTATAACAAAATTCTGACACAACAACCAAAGAAAGTAATATTCAGTCTTTACTTATAATAATATTAAGTATAGTTCGTATTGTTAATTATGACAACAAATATATATATGAAACTGGACATTTTCAACAAAAGTGAATAATTTTGTGTTTAGTTTTTGAGAGAATTTCATCAACAAACAAACCGAAAAACAATTCAATGTCTGGCTTGAATTCTGGACGACGAATTTACTCCGACAGAATTAAAGTTAGGCCAGGTTGAGGATTATCTTTATCGGTGGAATAGGCCGGATGCAGAATTTTACCCTTCAATGAAAATATGAAAATTTCAATTCTCAATGAAAAAAAATCGTATTTTCCAACTAGGCATTTAATAATTTAGCTTTGTTTCATTTAATAATGGGTGGAATGGCAATTTTACTTTTTAACTGCGGGACATCTCGTCTGAGGTCTGTGGTGAACCTGTAATTTTTTTCCGGTCCGTATGCGTTCGCTGTTTTTGTATCGGGAGCACTTTGCCGACTCCAGAGTCTGTGTGTTGTTTTCTCAGTCGTGTACATTTTCTAAGTTTGTACGAGCACACCGTTGAAAATGTAATGCCAAAAACGAGCCTTGAAGAAGAGTAATGGATGCTAATAGCTAACGGCAATTTTAATATTTTTTTGCAATACGTTTAAAATTTAAACTTAAAAAGTCAATTTTAAATAAATGACAGTGCGTCCAACCGGTAATTGAATCATTTTGGCCGGAGGACGAGTGTAGGATGTGACTAAAAATCATTGCACTGTACAATGTCGGTTAAAACCATTGATAACCTGAACAATCGCGCATTCCAGTTTCAACTTGAAATTTACAACTTGAAAATATTTGATAATTCGTGATCAAGAGCAGAAAGGGGAGAATTGTTTTGATTAAATGAAACATGAAAATTCCCCTCGCGTGAGTGCACATCTTAGGATTTTATTTGGAAGTACAAAAGGCGACGGTGTTTCGTAACCTTCATAGACTTTTTTACAATTTACACATATTTTAATATTAATTAGCGGGGAAAATCCTAAAACCTCTGACCTACTTTAAAAGAAACACTCATGTTGTATTTAGGTTTCGATAGAAATTCGTGAATTGAACTTCTTTTGAAAATTTGCCTATGTATTGTATGTGTTACTAAATCGAGAACGTTTATGAGAACGAGATACAGGTAGAGTTCTCTTAACTAGATTTACTAAACGTCTGAGGGTGTGATCTTTCACATTACATAACCGGGGTTAAAGACATAGGATCTCGTTTTCCCACAAAAGGGAAAAAGCGTAGAGAACCGTTTGAACTTTGAATTTAGAATCTGTCGAACAGAGCAGGAAAGTATTCGATCTATGTACATCTCCAGACAGGGGTTTGTGAAGTTAGGCGGTGTGCTTTTCCACTACGGGCGTTAATAACAAATCGAACATCGCGATGTGAGAGGGTGACGGGGCGACTGTACGGCGAGAACGCCGAACGGAACCGGGTAAAAAACAAATTTAAATTTGTATGAAAAAATCGTGGTACGGGGTGTAAACGTGTTTGGACGAGAGAACGTCGATGACGGGAGGGGTGAGGATCGGGTGGCGGCGGTGGGTAAAATGGTGATAAAGGGCCGGTCGGCAAAGTGGGTGTTACGTACCGAGTAGCAATAATTTGAGTTCTCTCCTGGCATCCCTTTTGTCCTTCCTGAGCTGCCTTTCGATTTCCTGATTGATCCTTTTCTGCTCTTTTGCCTCTTCTGACAAACAGCACGCCATCTTTGGGGCCGGGGGGAAGAGCGGATATTATCTTAGAGGAGCCGTCTTCCTTAACGCTAGTATCACAGAAATTGTCCTCAACGATCCTCCGACATCGGATGGCCCACCAAAACGGGTTCGGTCCGAGAAGGGCGAAAGGGCACGAGTCACGGTGGTCGAGTTAAAAAAAATTACACCCCGATCCTGGGTGTGGTACCTTCAGAACTACGATTAATAGAATCGCGGCACAATCCACTTTCCGTCGTCCAGATAGCGAAACCGACGTTACACTTATATTTTCTCCACTTCACTCCGGCCCCGATCCTGTTAGTGTAATTCAATTGACGAAGCCAGTCATTTCACACCCAGGGAGAGTGTTTTATCTCTCGTCTTATTTAAAAACTGGATTATTACGACAATGGAGGGCAGGGGCCGAATCCTCTCGCCCCGAATCGAAACTCTTTCCGTCTCTCCTCTCGCTTCACCCCCACCGATAAACGCCCCCTTTAACTCGGATTGGACATTTATAATTACACTTCATCCCCGCGGATAAGAATCGCCCGAGAGTTCCATTTATTTACGATAATCGAATTAAAAACACGGAACCGCACCGACTGCAGACGCCTCGACCAAAGATGGCGTCCCGTTCGACTCCCCGATATCCCGATCCCACAATCCAACGGGATCTCCCAAAACAAAACACCCGCCCTTCCACCGCTCACATTTGAAATCCTCCACCCTCTCCGATATCACACTACAAACTACACACCCTTCCGACCTTTACACACTTACATTACAAAATACAGACGCATTTTTATTTTCCTACGCGGACTTAGCAATTAGTAAATTTATAACTATTGGAAACATTATTTCACATATGCATCAGTCCATCTGTCCATTTGTACAATGGTCTCCCCGATGTAACTGAAACTCAAATAATTACCAAGGCGTTAAACTCATTTAATCGACATTTCAAGAGGTCTAAAACTACTAGATGAAAAATATTTCAAATGTGTGCCTATATATGAAACTACAACTTTATTATTTAATTATAATAATCTTGATTCCACATATATTTACACAGTTTGTGATATTTTTCCCTATTCTTGATGATTGCTTGTCAAACGGTGTAAACTGTTTAATCAGTTTGCCCATTAAGATACAATTCATTTTTGAACATCGCTCGGAGAAATTCTGTCTTTTGAATCTTTATTCTGAGGAAACATGCTCTCACAACAAAGAACAGACCGTACGAGCCACAAGGTTGACATAAAAACCATATAAGTTAATTTTGCCTAATGTACTGGACTTTAGAAAACAACTGAACACATAAAAACCATACAATTTGCACATTTTGTAGAGTAAGCTCACTCGGTGATTCTGGAAAATTCTCGCTCAATATAAGAATGAGTAGAATATAGAAATCTTTGTGGGTCTTCTGTTTCAATGTATATGGAGGTGACTGATAAATAATTTTCAAGTAATAGAGTATTCTGTGTTAAATGTGATGCGTATTTGTTAGCATGGATGTGGAGTGTGAGAAATTTTGAAATTCACTGCCCTACTCGAGTGGTATATAGGAAAGAATGTCTTTAAAAATGAGTGAGGGTGTGAGTTAGTTTAAAAACTGTGTTGAAGGCTGAAATAGCCTAGATGTCAACTGATTGGTGGGCAGGGCATGCAGACCAATGGTTGACTACAAACTGTCAACAAAAACAGAATATGCAATTCTTACGGCTTGCTGTAAAAAGACTTAATTCTTCACTCACTGTACACTGCAATAAACTCTATTACTTTAGGGTGGTTTAACAAATCAAACATCACAAAAACACATATTCCACTGTAAGAAACCAAATTAAGAGTGAGTAATTTGGCACTTCTTGCTTAAAAAGGAAAATAAAGAGTTCACTGAAATGAAGGTTTTTAGTCTATAATCAAAAGTGGTTAATATATTTTAAAAATATTATATTTACAACTGTACAATTTAAAAAAACAATGATTAAATACTGACAAATGATAAGGCCTTCATGGTAGGAACTTACTACCTCTATGAAAAAATAAATTAATAAAATAGTAAGACAACTGAGAAGAATTTTATTGGGAGAAGTTCACAACATTTTTCTTTTTTATTCTATAAAATATATATTGAAATAGAACCAAAAAGTACAAACTGAAATCATATTTACAATTACTAATAGAAAATAGTTTACTTCAAAATACATTTGTCAAAAGTTAGAAACTGAGTATGTATTAATCAAATTTGCCAATTTTTGATTTCTTTATTGTTACGATTGACAGTTTTTGAAACCCAAGACAATCAATCCTATCCCTATAAAGGTTGATAAAAAGTCCAAATTTATCTTTCATCCCTTATAAAAATTATTCACTTTACATAAAATGTATAAATGATTTTGATTCGTTTAGGAAAAATGTTTAATTTATTCCAATTTCTTAGTCTTTTATCATACATATTCATTCATAAATCATTTATTTTCTGGTTAATAATACATTCATGATGATTTGCGCTGATATTTCACAAATACATTGTAAATTTACGTTAATATTTACTTTCACCATTTGACTGTGTACAGGTACAGTTTTCTACCTCAGATACTCTTCTATCTAAAAACAGAAAAAATAAAGATAAAAATAAATGTGATCATTTAGTGAAAAAGTTTAACTAAATACAAATTAAAATTAAACACAAAACTATCTATAATGATGACACAGTCTACAACATATTTTTAAATATTGTTTTTATATAAGAGGGGGATAAATTGTACAATTCATTGTTCAAATTGAATATTTGGAAAAACTGAGTAATAAAATAAATTACACTGAACATATTGAGAACCACACAAGACAGCAAGTTGAGGAAGAAGATTCCTAGACAAAAAATTGCCAAGTGTTTGGTTAGATAATATATTTTATGTGTTACCAAATCCTTACACATTCTGTTGTTAATGGATCTATTTGATGTTTTTTTATCAGGTGTAGCTTTCAGTATCCTATCGGTTAAAGACAATTCATTGATTGTATTAAATATTTCTTTATCATTTTCTATTGTTTCAGAAATGGAGGGTATCAGGGTCTGCAAGCATCTGTCCACTGATGCTACTTTCCTAAAACAAGTTATGACTGTTTTTACTAATTTTAACAGTTAATAAAAAGGAAATAACAATTAATGCATGTACACACGATTCGATCAACTGATCCATCTGGATATTAAAAAGGGCTTTACTCTCACTATAAGCGCTTCTAATAATCTCGTACTGCTTTTCGAGTTTCCTCAATTGGCTATTTGTGACAGTACTCGGATTTTGTAAAATTCTACAGAAATTTGCTGATGCCCTTGTAAAGTCTCGATACTTGTTGTTACAATCACATAATGCTTCATAATACACTTCAGGCATCTCTGCTTCATCGGCACATTCTGTTAGTGCTTCATTAATGCGTCTTTTTAAGCTAGATGCACTTGAATTTTCCTGAAATGAATTACATTAATTAATTTGATAAATAGTTTTATAAATCTAATATCACCTTTATATTGTGACCTATTTCTGAGTTATCTGGTAAAACTCGACCCAAAAGGTGATAAATTCGCCTCGATAGCTTTAAGCGTGTCTCAAGAGATTGAACATAGAGAGAAATCGTCCTAAGTAGATCAGAAATATCTTCTAATTGTTGTCTTGAGTGTATCTGCTTGTCACATAGTTCCCTTTCAATGAGCTCGTCGTTCATAAGTTTAAGTTCCAACTGCAGTGCATGAAGGAGTGAACATATGTATATCTCAGAGTATTATTAATTCATACAAGCAAGTATAGGCAACTAAGCAAATCATGTGTAAGCATTCTAGGGCTAAATAGATGATTCTCTTTTCTTGCTTTCTGTTAATACATATGGCAATTTGTCTTTTATATAAGAGATTGGCAATCATGATGGATCTGGCAGCTTTTTTTAATATTCTCCTGTGAAGAAGTTTTTGATGATCTCAATTTAAACAAAGTGAAAAGAGAAAACTTCTTTGTCTTTTTACTTGTTTTACACATTAGCTATTATCCATAAATATTAGATTTATTTTCATTTTGACCTACATTTTCTAATTCCACTGCAAAAAGGGTTTAAAATTGAATGGCTTCAGGCTTATCAACTCAGTGTGGAATTGAATACCATGCTAATTACATTAGGTATTCATAGAAATAGTAAAGGTGGAGTGAGTATTTAGATTCACTTTTTGTAAATGATTATTTGTTATTGATATTATTAATTCTGTAAGTAAAACCATTATTTACAAGAAGTTAGGTATTCATTGTAATTTTTAAACAGTTTTATCATCTGAGTCTAGCATAGTTTTTGCATTAAAATTTTTATGAGTATTTGTTGGTCATAATAATAATAATTTATCTTTTAGCTGAATAAATTCATCTCATATAAAAGAATAACATCAAACTGGAAAGTTGGAAAATATGTAGATCCAGTTAGATGTTTTGGGACAAATAACCGGCCATAAAATCCAAGCAAATAATACAATGTTCTGTTTATAGTTTTAGATGTAGTGACCAATTTTTTACTCACGAATAATCTAATGTCTGTATGGTCTGGATGAAAATACAAATTCAATTGTTAACTGCCAATCTTTTGATCTATTTTAGTCATCATCAGGGCAAAACAATCTTAAAGGTGTCTATAAATTGAAATAATTAACTTTTAGATGTTGCAGTCCTTGGCAATGTTAACTTGAGTCAGTCTTCAAAGAAATTTAAAACAATCTATTAAAAACTTAATTATGTCAATTTGTAAACATCTTGAAGATCTTTACATTCTGTAATTCGGCTACAATTTGCAGAAAACAATGAATGAATTGAATGTGCATTTTCATCCAGATCATACTGAGATCCAGCAAATAATTCAACACATCACAATGGTGTCCTGTCGGTAATTACTTTTTTTGTGTCCTTCCTTTAAAGGAAATTTTGGAAAAGCCAGTCCTAGGGTTATTATTACTATTACTACATAAAAGTAAAATTTAAGTTTTTTTTAAGATGAATTTAGTTTTCAATATACAAATCAGCTTTGTATGTACTTTATACATCTTTACCTCTTCCAAGTATGGATTTCGAACTTTTTTTATCAGACCTGACTGGTATGCAAGTGAACTGTGTCTTCTCTTAAATTTCGGCCAATCTGAGAGCTGTAATTAAGGTTTATTTTATAAGTAAATTTGAGTCAATATTAAATTTTTTTAATATTTTGTTTAATTCCAATTAATTAGATTATTGTGTCAATGTGTCATTAACAAACCATTAAAAAAAATTAATTATATTTTGTTTTGTTTAAAAAAATGATCATGAGACAAATTGCTTTCTTTGAGTAGTACTTCATACACTTTTTTAAATTATAAAATAAAAAAGTGGAAGAAAAACATTTTTTTCAGACATAAAAAATATTTTATGAACAAAGTGTTCTATCATTACAAATTGTTTATTTAAAAACTCACTTATGTCTTAGTATAAAAAATGTAAATATAAGTATAAATACTTTTGTTTGTTTTAAAACCATGTGTTTTTTGACATGTAAATACTTACAATGTGTTTATTGTAATGTTTTGTACCAATTTTGTGTTAATTTAAAAATTAAAATGTGAATATGAAACCATTATTGCAAATTACCTTAACCGAGGAGCAACAGTTAGCACAGAATGTTGTCGGCTCTGAAATATCCCTAAGAAGATTCTCTCTTTCACATTCTGTCCCTTCGCAGTCACTGTCAATGAAGACATTCTTCTTTTGTGAGATGGAATTTTTCCAACTTGTTTTATCATTCATCTGCTCAACTTTAAATACTCTAAAGCCACAAGAACTGTTTTTTTATGTGTGTATGTCATGGATTTCTTACTATATTGTGACCGTTCCTAAATTAACTTAAACAATAATGATCCAACGTCTAAACTGCAAAACTGTGGAGAAAATAAATAAAACTATTTGTATGTCATATGATTTTATTAAATTTGAAACATTGGTATGAATGATGAGAACTAGCAAATATACATTAATATTTAAAAATTCCTATAGTAAAATATAATTTCTTAAGAATTCAAACCTTTCGTCAAAATTTTGTAGTTTTTCAACCAGAACGGGAACCTCATGATTTATGTTCTTTCTTTTCTCTCTCCACACTTGTAAACAAAGAAAAATAAAAAAAGAACCATGCTAATATACACTATACTACCGCATCAAATTGGTTGTTGTGCGAGGTAGTTCTCTAATTTTCACAGAGGTACAAGACATAATTGAAGGATGTAGTGACATTTGCCCCACCCCCACATTAGTGAGAGATTTTTGCTAATGCATAGAGCACGTATTGTGGATGCCTACCTGAATGAGGTTGGAATTGAGTGCTAAGTGTAGCCAGGTCGAAGTCCAGATTTGAACCCAATCAAATACAATTGGGACCAACTTAAACGACGAGTACAACGGTGAAACCCGTCTCGATACCCTAGAATAGTTGGAAACAGCTGTTCTTGATGAATGGTAAAGGATTCTTCAGGGTTTTACCAGAAATAATTTCCAAGAAATGCAAAGGCATTTACGGATGTGATTCGTGCTAGAGGTGGAAATGTGCAGTATCAAGGGGGACAAGTTTTTTTACATTTTATTTATTTTTCAATCTTTTTTTTTTTTTTTTTTTTTAGAATAGGTAATAAACATTTTCTTTTTAAATTTTTTTATTTTTACAACCAAACCTAGTTTTGGTATGCAAAATATGAATAAACCTAAATAAATTTAAGGGTGGTGCGTTAATTTTGTACATCAGGGTATTTTGCATGTGCTGGGGCTGAAATGGTCTAGATGTTGAAAGCCCACATTGGTTGGGAAGCGACTCTCCTGGGCATCTGGCTAAGGGAGATACTAGTGACCCAGCCACATACAGGACATGTGAACTTCTCTCAGCCCTAAGGTATAGACCCTAGGGTCAGTACATCAGGTAGTGACAATCCTTTAGGGTGTAAGTCCAATATTATAGTAAACAATCGGATAGTGGTAAATTTGGGAAGAAACTGAAATTTAGTATTAAATTAAAATTATATTAACATTTCATTACATGATTTACAGTAAAAATTTTAATACAACAAACAGGCTGAAACAACAAAATTTAAAATTGAGTCGCATTAGGTACAGTCTTCTTTTAACCCATCAACATAATTTTAACCTCTTGAGACATTGTTAAAAGAAAATTGTTAGAAGTCAGTAGGTGAATTTTTTGGTGTAACAGTTGCTCAACAAACACGTGTTTATAAATTATGAATATTTAATCCATTAAACCTATAAAATTTATTCACTTTACAGCATTCATGTATTATCGTATCTTCAGTAAAATCATGTATTAATCAGCAAAACAATATATCAGTCACGCATGGCACTTCATAACAATAATTATACAATCATGCCAGTCACTATATCCTACATTATTCATGTTATTTGGGCCCCTAACTGAAAATGAAAATTTGTTCTTATTTAACATTTTATCATTTAATGTTTTTAATTTTGAATTGAAAATCTTTGTTTGCAGGCATAAAATATTTAACAAATTCTTATTTTCAATATTTGAAGAACTCACAACCATAAAACTGGACATTTATTACAACTCCCTGCTTGAGAAAAATATATAATAATATATTAACATTTTTCTTTAGTTCAAAGAAATTAGTTGAACATACAAATACAGCCACAAATGGATCCACATGCCAAGAACAAAATGTCTTTTCTAAAGATTATACATTTTAAAAATTTATGATATTGCAAAATAGTATCACCAATCTGACATGGCCAAACATGAAAGTTTGAAGTGTTATATAAGTAAATAACAACCAAAGTTTGTGTTTATAGTTTAAAATTTATACTATCAATCAGTGAGGACAGTTGAATATTTTGTATTACATGTAACCACATGGTTGTCAATCAAGGCTTATTTTAACACATATCCAACTGCTATAAATATAAATCCAAAATAACTAGACTGGATTTACTCTATTCCAATTTCTCAAAAATAAAACCCAAAAATGTTTCTAACAATAATTTGTTATTAATGAAAAATAATTTATAATAATCCTATGTAAACATCTTTCTGTTTCGATTATAACAACTGATTTTAACACTACATATTTTAAAATTATTATGTTATTATTACCATTCAATGAAATACTATTAACATTCAAATACTTTCAAAAACATACATTTAAAGTAAAGGTACATAACTGCCTGTCCTAAATTACATGAAATACAAACAAAACGATGTAAAATAATTCAATAACCAACATTCCATAAAAATGTAAATACATATTTTTACATCTGTCCGATTAAAAAATAAAATCCACACAATCTAATAAACTTTATTATTATCATTTTGAATATATTTATAGTTGAAAAGTTATATAACACTTTTGGAGAAAAATTAACACTTTCAGAGTACATGTTCTTATGTATTACGTCAAGGAAATTTCTACTTTTTTGAAAACTGATAGCATTAGGCCTGCGAAACAGTGCATCACAGATTGAAGATTTATTTATTTTAAATATAACAAATCTATTTATTTTTTGGCATTGCGAGTGACATAAAATGTATATCCCATTGTTAGGTGAAGTAAATCAATGGATATTTAAAAAGTTATTTCAGTCATCACAAGGAGAAACTTACTTGAACAAAAAAATATTTGCAAAGAAGGAAATCTTTCACACTTCCTAACTGACTAAAAAAAAGTGTAAATAATATAAATATAGATTTAACCTACCTTCTTGGCAGCTTTCTAGGGTAGTGGTAATATCTCAATAAATTGCATATATTTCATTAATATGGAAATTTTAACACTATTAATAAATAACATTCAAATTATTTATAGATCATGTTTAGATCGTGTCATTGAATTATATTTTGATTGTTGTTGTTATTAATCTAGTTTTTCTTTTTTTAATTTAAAGGAAAACCTAGGATATCTCTAGGAAGGCACTAATTTGGTTCTCAGAATGCAATTACTTTCTAGTAAAAATATATATATATGTATATATTTATATATAAGAGTTTTTACTCAACATTTATTTTTTGTACACTTTTTTTTTTTGTTATTTGCTAATATTAAGACTACTTGAGCCAAGAAATGATCCAAAGAAATTCTTCCAACAGAGGAGTAAACATCTTAACTCACTATTATAAATGCGTTTAGAAGGAATTTCATGGGAAAATTATATGTAAGGAAGATTTTCACAAACCTTGCCCCTTATTAAATTTAAGGTTCTTTTGAAATAAAGAAAATTTTAACTTTATATATATAAATTTATAGCTGCAATTTTCAAACCCAACTCATAAGGGTCTAGTAAAGTTTGCAGGGAACATACCTTTTTCCCCTGTTGATTCCTTTACTCCCATCAACCAACCATCCTCCTAGAACAAAAAATATTTTTTAACATTTTACTAATAGTAAAATTTTGTAAAAAATACCTGTTCTTCTGGATCGTCATATTGGATTACACGTATAACTTCTCCTACTTCAAAAGACAGCTCGTCAACATCTTCCCTATTGTACCGATAAGTAGCTTTCACTTTGTAGAGAACCCCTGGAGGCAAATTATCTGTTGTGGCTCCTGAGAATAAAAAATAACTATTTTATAATTCAGTCAGTTTGAATTAAGTGCTGTGTAATGATATAGTGTGAATCAACATATTAGAGTTATCTATTTATGGTTTTGTTTTTTATTAAAACCTATTCTTTTATTGATTTAGATAAACAAAACAAAATTTGGTGTATATGTAAGTATGTGTTACACAGATAACAATTAACAAACTTTCAGTAGTATAGGACTAACGATGACATTGGGAATAAGACAAATCATAATGTTTAATCAAAAGTGTAAATATTCTATCAAATACAAGAATTTTCCTACTATTTTCCAAATTGTTTATTACTTAAAAAAACAAAAGTACAAAAAAAAACATGCAAAATTGTTTAAAAAATTAGTATTTGTTATTAAAATTTATAAACAATACTTACCAGGGGGTAATTCATAATCTGTTAATCTTCTGTTATTATTGGCTTCTGTATTAGCTTCAGTTGTTGTCGGACTTGGAATTGAATTACCATTGACAGTGGGTGTGCTAACAGGGTCTACAGGGCTGGCTTTTGTTTCTGTTTCATTTAACTTCTCTTGTTCTGGTTTGTTGGATTTTTCTTCATCATTGCAATTTGACAACTCTTTTGATTTTGCTTCATTTGCCGTAGGAGTAGTGTCCATCTCTTCAGCTGGGGTCTCGGGGGAATTCTCGTCTTTTGGAGATTCTGAAGGTTCACTTGAAGCCTCCTCGGCTGAAATGTTAGTCTTGGATTGTTAGTGATTTGTCAAAACAACACAAAAAATGTTTTAAGTAGGATAACAAAAAATTAAGCATAATTATTTTACAAGTAGTTATTGATTTATTCATGTGCAAAAATTATGTATTTAATTTACATGCACTTTGAAAAAATCCACCAACCTGTCATAGAAGATGGAGACCCCGGGCTATTCCTGAAAATAATAGTGAAATAAAATTTAAACTAGTATTCATATACTTTTAAACAAATAAAATACTTACGTGTTAATATTATTTGATTTTGGGGAATTTGTTACTCTCCTAGGTGTGTATGATTGTTTTTGTGTTTCCATTGCTAGTTTATCAATAATAGCTTCTAGTTCAGAGTAAACCTGTACAAACATAACCAATGAGAATTACACACATTTTACAACCAACGTTATCTTCCGATACCTTGGAAGTTTCTGCATGGAAGACCTGTTCAGCAGAGAATAATGTCTGGAGGTTGTTAACAAAAAACAAAATTCTGGAATGATACAGAGCAGGAAGTTCATCATGGAGTTCACTGTTTAAGGTGTCGTATGTCCTTTTAGCTAGCAGCAGTTGTTCCTTGGCTTTTGAAATCTGTAATATTTGTTCATAATAGTTCAATTGGAAGTACATACAGTTTTACAGTGAATCAATTTATAAGTACCTTGGCGTCATCTCTCTTTTTGCCACCACCTCCCTCAAGGGATTGCATGTTGTGCCTTTGCCCATCATAGTCGACTAATTTTCGAGACCTTTTATCAATCTTTTTCTGTACAATAAATTAACATAATTAATATTCATAATTTTTACATATATCTGCAAAATATGATGTAATATAATTGTATAAGTTTAACTATAAACATTAACTTTTATTACAGATAACTAATTGATTATGAATGAACCACTGATGTGTGTATATAGCATTTAGAATGATTTTGTTTGATTTAACTATTAATTAATATTTTATCATTTGAAAATAATACAACAATTTATTATTACATACAAAATCTAATTAATGATTTACTACGGCTTTTTTGTCTATACATTTTCGTTAAAAATAGTGAATTTTCGCAAAAGTGTAGTAGAAAATATTGGATATCCATAGAGATTATTTTCGACAAAAGACTTCCCGAGAGTGCTGATGAATGAAAAAACATTTATGACATAACATGGTCAAATTTGCTGTGGAAAAGAAAAGAATGAGTCCTGAAATGTACACAATAATACTTTTAACTGGAGTTTTCAGTTTTGGCACATTAAAAAAAAATGACAAAAATTTTGTTTATATCCCAAACAAAACCAGTTCAGATTTTTTTTAAAAAATCGTTGTTTTTATTTAAAAAAAGTTTGTCTTGTTAAATACTTTATTATTTCATAAACAATAAGATTGAACTTGCAAACTGAGGAAATGGGTCTAGTTAAAAAAAAAAAATTAATTGTAACTCATCAAAGTAAATTTCAATATTTATTTCATTAGGAGCATTTAAAAATGAGTAAATAATAATGGTATTTTTAAAAATACTGAAATAGCTAGTTGCAAAGGAAAATAAATAAAAGCATACAAAGAATTAATGCAACATATAACATTACTAAGTATGATTATGTAGTTATCAAATATTTTTGTATAATTTATTTTAATACCTTGTTTGTTTTTGCAAGTAGACAAACTTACTTTTGTTTCTGGGAATTGAGCATAGTACGTGTTCAGGGGAAGTAGCACTTGGTCTGCTAATTTGTGACTCAGATCTTGCCAAAGCATTTCTATGTTCTGCGTCTGAGCGTAGAGGACATCTTGACCAACCCATCCACTCTCATAAACATCATTAAGGCAATCGTAAAGACTTTTACTTGCCCCTTGTACAGCTGTAATATGAACAAACGTGTGCCTGAATTAAATAAGAATCAATTCCAATCAATATATAATTATTAGAACTGGACAGTTTCATGTAACAATAAGTCGTATGGCTCAATGTCTTGTTCTATTGATGGAAGGAGGAATGTCATAATGAAGAAATATGCTTTGTTTATTATAACAAGCACAAAAGTACAAAACCAATTTCTATTTATTAATTAATAGCTAAACCATCACTTAAGATGCTAAAGAAAAGTTAAATAATTTACTAACACTACACTGGATCTGAAAATTTATTTATAAGTTGACACAGATTTTTACTGTCCATTAATATATGTGCAGAGACATTTTAAGATTAAAATAGAGTAGCATAAGCCACAAACCTAAGAGCAGTTACATACATAATCATTCTAATGATAACACAAGAACCTATATGGTTGTTTATGTATGGTTCTTATACAGTATTTTGATAGTACTATTTATAAGATATGAATAGATGATCTAACTTAAGATGTATCTATCATTAAAATATTAACTTACCTCGTATACATCTTATATAATTATTAAATTCTTTTTGGAGTCTACTAGCTGCCTGCTGCTGTCTGGTAAAATTCTCCAAGTGTTCATCAAATATATCGTCAGCTGTCCTATCAACTTTTCCCAGGTTTTGAAGTATCTAAAACACCGACATGTTGTTAACAACTTCATTAAAATTATTTTGTGTGAAAAATTGCAAACAATAAATGTAATGAGATAGAAAGAACAAAAAATAAATTATAAATTTTCAAAGAGTAAAACACCATTCACAACTAAATAGACAAAGACAGATTTGAAACAAACGAAACTTAAAAATAAATAGCCCCCTTTTAATGTTTGTCTTTGATCATTGATAAACATGAGTTCATTCGTTTCATATGTAAATAAAATTTAGTTTATTGGATATAATTATTGCATATATTAAAAAAACAAATAAGGAGTATAAGGAGAGCTAGAGTCATTAAATTTATTGCAGAAGTTAATAACTTAATACAGCATAAATCGATTAATTATATTATCAACAGATTTTTTTTTTCATTTGGGAGTTAAACAAGCTCACAACTGTAGAGATCATATCCACAACCAGAATTCTGATGTTTTTTTAAGATGAACCAAAAGACCATTTGTAAGTTCTCTTGGTTCTAATCTAAGCAGACCCTACAGTGATTAGTTACCGTGCCTATGTTTTCTAAAGTGATGTGGCCACCAACAAAAGTTTGTTTTTTGGTTTATGTTAGAAAACATTTCTATGTGGTTTTCTAATAAAAAAGTAATACATTAGTTATTTAAATTACTTAAATTGCTAAAACACTTGCTACTACACTAAAACTTTGCTTTGATGCATACGGCGATACCACCCACCCAACCCATGCGAGCCAACCAAGCTGCTCCCAGGAAGAGGCCCAGAGCGCCCCTTTTCAACTTAAAACAGTACTTAAATCTCAAGCTAATCTTGTGATGTTCCTTAAGCTATCAAGAACAGGTTTTGATTTCCAATTTGCAATATTTTCTTCTCCCAGAAAGAACAATTCAGTTTTTCCAATGAAGTGATCAACAGCAAGTAAATCCAGTATTAGATTTCTTTTTTTAATGTAATCTTTAACGAAAAGATCCCCAGTACATTTCGACCTTGCTTTTTTCTTGCTTAATATGCTTGGATGATGCCACGTATGGAACCACATTAATACTCCCCTGAGGCTGACGGGCAGGGCAGAAAGGTCCCAAGGGTAGATGAAATGTGAAAAAAAGGCCCCGTGAAGATGTAAATAATAATTTAAAACAAACTATAGGGTATCGGTGGCTGCAATAGTTCAGGCATTGACACAGCGCTAATCACTGTAAAGTAAAGGTACCGGGTTTGAATCCAGTGACCCTACATTCAAACCCAACATAATTACAAACTGCCTCCCATCCCCATAAAAAAAACACCCCTGAACGTATAACTATAAGAAACAGTTGGTAGACATTCTAGAACAACACAAGAGAATAAACTGAGATAAATAAAAGACAGTTCTAGGGAATGGAAAGCAGCAATTCAAAAATACTGAAAAGAAGAAACAGTACTGAATGCATCATTGTAGAAGGACTACACATGAACACCTAATGGCTAGAGAACCGGCTTCTCAATGCTTGTCATGCCAAGAGGTAGTAACGGAAAAGCATTTTGTAGGAAATTCATGTTGTTTTTGTTTTGGCATTTCGTGATATTGACCTAGCACTAAAGACAACAAAATACCAAAATGATCAGTAATGACCAAACTACTGGTTTTAAATTTATAATCGTATTGAATTGTTTTGATTACAATTTTTATTCATGAAAATAAGCAAAATAATACAGATAAAAATAAAAATATAAAGTGCATCTGTGCATTCATATAAAAAACTTTCTTTTGCTTTTTTATGGAGCAAGAAGCCTGTTTCTTGCATTCAATTAACATTGAATTTTTTAATTTTCTGGAATAACAAATTAGTTTTAATAATTAGTTTTTATTATAAAATTAATTATTACAAAAGGATATATATTTCTTAATATTTAAACAAAAATTACCAAATTCTTTTTTATTTTGTCTTATTATAAAGATCATGGACTCCACTGGACCATTAGTGGCACTGTTTTAATAATTCTTCTATAAGCACTTTCACAGTGTTCATGTTGATGCTTGTAAAGTGTAATCCTTTTTAAAAAAGATGGTTCCTACTCACATTAAGTTGTTTTGCAACCAAATGTGGTGTCAAAATTGGTTGAGAAACAACTTAATGGAGTAGGAACCATCTTTTTTAAAAAGGATTGAACTCCACACTCACTCCATCATTCATAATTTCTATTACTTGTAAAGTGTTGTTGAACTTGTTGTCTCTGGTCATCCAGGTATATTCATTGTCATTGATTTTGTATGTAAGATATTTTTGGGCATTTTGCTATCTTCACTGGTTATGATTTTATCTTGCTTACAGGCAAAACTACTATGAATGAAGTATTACAGTTGGTGTTATATTGCTCGCATGGTCGCATAAACATACATGAATAACTTCCCTTTTGTGAACAACTTTAAGGGCCCTATCCGTTAATTTAAAAAAATATGGATTTCTTCTCCTTGTAATACAAAATTGAATTTAAAACAATTAAATTATTACAGTAATACACGGGAGGACAACACATTACCAATTGAATAGAATGAAAAATCAGATAGGTAAGTTAAAGAAGTGGCAACAGATACTTTACGTTATAGACGTATGCTCAAAAATTGTTTTAAAAAAAATAGTAACCAGAAGTTTGAAGAATGGGATGTGTCCAAAGATCATTTGCAAAGCATTGTTCTTTTTTTACTTTATTATATTATGGTTGACCATGAAGATACATTAATGAAAGATGTGATGAAACAGGAAAAAAACTATGTGGTTCCAAACTTTGGATAACGACATATGCATATTGAAAAACAACAGTTACAACACAGATTGGTGTCATTAGGAAATTCATTGCCATGCTTTTTTAGCATTTCGGCAGCAGAATATTGGAGAGCTATTCCATAAATACTTTAGATTAGATCACACCTTAATCTGTAAATAACAGAAACCAATATTCAATAAGTAATATTGTACAAAGAATCAACTGTAATCTTGTAGGGTGATGGGGCAAAACTTTATGAAGAAAAAAACAACATGCATATTATATTTAATGTAATGATTACTAATGTAATAACATAATTTTTCTTGTATATATTATTAATTATTGTGCAGTTTAGTCGTTTCTGTTCATTTTTATCGTTTTGGTCTGTCAGACACATTTTGGTTTCTCGCCATCTTCAGTGATAGGTCCATCAAAAGGAAATCTAACAATTAATAATATTGTTAACAAATAACAGTAATATTAATGTAACAATATTATCAATATTATTATACTATATCAATATTATTATTATTATTATTATTATATCGCATTTGTATAAAGGAATTCATTGAAAGTAAAAAAGCATTCATCACGTTTCCAATGTAACATAGAAGAAAGGGAGTGAGAATTTTTCGCGATATAAGTATTTACAACGAGGTGGAAACCACCATCCCATAAGTAAAATATATCGACCTCATATCGGCGGCGCAGAGCATTTAAAATTATCAAAGAAACAAATATTTAGTTGGGTAGACTCCGAGCATATTCTGGCCTGGCAATCCTCGCTCCCTTGGTCTGTCAGACAGTTTTAGGCATTTCGCCATCTTCAGTCTTGGGTTTATTTTTTTATAAGAGTTCCTTTTAAATAGGTTCATCACCCCGCAAAACTAAACAAGAAACTTCACAAAACGTATCTCATAATTATCAAATAAATGTACTCGACTGTGAAATGGATAGCTCAAAACAGTTTAAAAAGAAAGAATAAATTATCACTAGCCTATTGAAAACAGAATAATTTAATACATCAATTTAATTAGTAATGTAATGGTATTGCCTTTTTTGTTTCGGAACTACCGGAAAGGAAGCCTTGTATTCATGCAGGAAGTCGAAAAAAATGTTGTCCTCCAAAATCAAAATTTTCACTTGCATTTTGCACCTTTCCGAACAAATTTGGTTCCGTGTCTGACAATTCCTTGTAACCGGCAAAACTCCCAAACCTTGAGACTAATTTTTATGAACTTTCAGAGATTGTGCGGGTTGATTTCTAGATGGTGCCCTATGAATTTCATCCAAATCGGATCAACGGATCGTTTGTGCATGCGTAAACGTAAATCCCGTACACCGCTGTATCTTCGAAACCATTTGTCGGATCCTTATGAAATTTTCAGGGATTATGCGGGTTGATTTCTAGATGATCCTTTATGAATTTTATTCGAAACGGATTAACATAAGAGCAAGGGCATGCACAAAACGTGAAGAAGCTAGACTGCCCACCCCACTTGGCAGACGTTTTATCATAGCACAGACAACAGGATTTTTATTGTAATTTTAAAATTATTAAATACAATAGAATTTAAAATTATTATAGTCTTATTAGATACAATTATGATAACGTTTATTCCAATGGAACTTCACATATTTAAACTAATTAAAAACGAAAGTAACATCCTTCCTGGAACAATAGCGAGATAAATTAAAGTGAAGTTATTATACTTTCAACTCTGTTGGCAAAATTACCAGGTTCACTCATTTCTTAATTAGATTTTATCAATTGTATTTTAATGCAATGACAAAATAATTCGTAAATTAAATGATATTTTGATTAATTATACATTTTCTTGATATTGGGAAAAATTTGTTTTACCGGATGTTCTACGCCATAACCTACAATTACTCATTCCTGTTTCATTATTCTTAATAACGTTATTAACATTAAAAAGTGAAACATGCTCTCGAAGATGTTTTGAAAGCATCAGTTTTCATTCAGCGAAGGTATCGATTATCGTGTTAACGTAAAAATTACGACTCTAATGTTCATTGCTAAGTACATAAAACCAAAAAAATAACACTAATGAATAAGAAGGGGGGAGAGAGTGGTTCGGAATAGAAAGTTTGCCTATTACGTATGTATTTGGTTTAACGATTCGTGTTCATCACACTACACACTCTCTTGAACGCTTTTCCTCTTGCTTTCAGGTCATCACGTCCTCATTGAGGAAACGTTTAAAAGCGTTAAAGCGATAAAATGAAAG